CCCAGTTTGCTTCTCTCCTTGAAAAGCAAAAGAAAAACTCCTTCATTGGTACACAATCCCCACCCCCACCCCGCACATCCCCACTCCCACCCCAAGTATACTCCACTCTGCAACCCTCATTCCGGACTCTTATGATAACCATAATGCCCTAAAATATATTAATTTTAAACAATTCTCTCCCTCATCAGCTTCAATGCAGTGATCCCATATAGAGTATAATGCTCAAAGCAGACGTTTTTTAACTATTTAATCCAAACTACCATATATTCCTAAAGAGATGTTACTTTGGTTTGTCCATTGGCTTTGTTGTTTTTGTTGCTGTTAACTTTCTTTACTGCTTCAAAAAAGACAGCAGCCAAGAAATCCATATTCGGCAGTTACTTTCCTATGAAATGGACATCAGACAACATCAATAGGTCATCTCCAGAGGAGGGTACATCTCTGTTTTGTTGAAAATAGTCTTTGACAGGATGAAATTGGTAGGGACAGTTAGACAAAAAGCTAAGAACTCTTTATCACTCCTCCAGACAGTACCCTGTCTCTTCTATACTTAAAAGCTAAGCAAATATTCTTCAAATAGTAGTCCAAAGAATACACATTTTTAGCATGTCCCATGAAGCCACATATCTCACTCCAGGCTTGTTCCTATATGTTTCTTCCTAATTCAGTTCAAAGGCTACCTCTTATTGCTCAGAGGCAAACCCTGCTGGATGGCTTCTTGAATTTGTGCTGCTGAACTGAAACTGGGGACTGGGCTAATTCAGGAACTGTGCCTCAGGACTGCTGGGCTAAACCCTGGATTTGCATTTGGTGATATTCTTTGCTTCCCTTTCACTCTCCAACTTACTTCCCTAATAAACCCCATTCTCAGCACTACAGCTATGAATCTGTAAGTCAACAACAAATAAATGAGCTTTTTGCTGCTGCTGTGGCTCTAAAGGCAACGTGGGTTTGGGTTAAGGGCTCTTTATCTGCTTTCTGCTCTGGGGCAGTGAGGGGCTGTGCTATTCTCACTCTCTGAGGCCCTTTCAAGGGAGATGCTCATAGCCCTGTAAACCCATGTCCCATTTTATGCCCTCTAGACAAATGCATATTGATTGCATGTTTAATCCACTTTAGACAACAGAAGTTGGTATATATTTTTAAAGTTTAGTCATCATTCTTAGTTTCAGATGTTAGTACACAAATCTGAGCAACAGTTGCATTGACAGATCTTTCTTATATGCATGTAGACAAGATGTTATTGCTGACACCACCATCAGGCTGGAATTTGGAATATTCTTTTTGAAAGCAAATGTGATGTTATTCCTCTGCAAGTTGTCATTCTTGGCGTCGCAGACAACATGACCATCTGATTTAACATGGCCGGTATCAGTCCATTTCAGTTCACTAACACCTAGGATGTCCATCTTCCTGCATTCTATTTAACTTTTTATAAATTCCAATTTTCTAATTCATCCTTCTACATTCCATGTTCCAGTTACAAAGGACATTTTGTAGGTCAGCATTATAGGTCAGCATGCCATTATCAGTAAATGAAAACCTTCACTGGGTTAAAACTTTTTGTCCATCCATGCCGTTAAGGTCAATTCTGCTTGAAGGAGGCAGCTATTGACCAGTTACAGTTTGAGTGCTTTCCAGCATAAGACTCACCTTTCAGCATTCTATCTTTGAGAAGGTAATAATTTCAGATTTCTATTCCATAAATATAAGAGATTTGTACAGTAGTTCTTCTGCTTGGACTGTGACTTCTACAAAAACACAATGCCTGCTGTCGGTGAGTTGTTGTTGTTTTGTACCACAGAGTCAGAACTGACCCACAGCTGACCCTCCAGCAGGTTTTCAGAAGCAGTTAATTACACAGGAGAAAACTGCCCATCCTCCTCCCACAGAACACCTAGTGGCTTTGAACCATGTCCCTTTGGGATTGCAGCACAGCTCCTTGCCACTAGGCCACCAGAGTTTGCTGTCTGTGAGTAGATCACCATATTTCAGCAACCAAAATTTATGACTGCTGAATATGTTGAAGAATTTACTTAGTGACTAAGGAAAAGAGCAGTAAAGGAAGAAATGTAGCTCTTCTAATGATAATTCAGTTTCCTATCATAAAACCTTTGAGCTTGGGAGAACATTTAGGCCATACAGTAGTTAGACAGAGATGGTTTATCAGGATCCTACGTGAAGAAAATCTGACTTCCTCCGAGGCAATCTGGTAATAACATGGGGGAATCAGTCACCTGAACTTCTTCCTAGAAGCAGGATGCCAAGAAGAGACTAAACGTAGATGATGAGTAGAATGGTCATTGCATTTGTTTCAAAGGTAAGGAGACAGGGTCAGAAGCTCACTTAAATTATATGTATGTGGAGAGAAAAAGAGTTTATAAACAAACAGGCAAATAAAAATCTTGATGGAAGAAACCCTACATCTTAATAATATGTACACATTCGGGAGTCAATAAATGTAGGTAATAATGGAGAAAAGAGTTTAATGATACCTCTAAAATCTCTCTTCTCAGATTCTCCACCAGAGTCCACTTTTTTCCCTTCTTCTTCCCCCTCTTCTCCTTCCCCTTCTCCAAAAGACGCCATCAGAAGTACACCAGCTTGGGACAGCAGATTCTTCAACTGACTACACAGCAGATCCAGCAAGGACTGAACTACCTTGGGACTCAGTTTATCAGCGTAGGTTCTATGCAAAATGGGGGAGGAGTGAAAGTAAGTGGCACAGAGCCTAGATTAAACGTTATTTGAAATGCAGTAAGCAACTAAAAGGAAACAGATTATCAAAATGTATTAAAAAAATGCCCCATTCTGTTCTAACAAGGTATCTCCAGTGCTCACCCTGTTGTGATGGCAAGAATCTGGAGGAGTCTTGTACTGGCCACTTTCAAAGCTGTGCTCAGCTGGGAAACACCCGTCTTTGGCAGTAACTGAAGAGGTTGTCCTAGCATGGTGTCTGTACCACATAACTGCGACAGGACATTTAGCAAACCAGTAGAAATTGCCAAAGAAACATCCACTGGTTGATAATGCACACTTAGGGCGAAAACTGTAACCAAAAGTAGACGTTGCTGGGCTTCTGGGGGGAAAAAACCACACCTGAGTATCTTTTTCAAAATGAACAAAAGCATTGACAAAAATAAATAATTTTCCAAAATATAACGTAGTATGAAATGCTATTATGCTTTCAAATATTTATCCTTATCCTATAAAATAACCACAAAGATGTAACCATCTTGCATAAGCCCAGGTCAAAACATATCCTCTGTTTTATATTTGTAAGGAAATTACTCACCAATATGATGTTTGTTTGCTTGTAGGGCTCTCTCCAAGGTAGCAGACAACTGTTGATAGATCTTATGCACAGCCACCTGGATTTCAATCTGAATATTTCTTTTGGCTGCTCTGATTCCATCCTGGATTACATAGAAAAATTTACTTTTTTCTGTGAGAAATAATAATACCTCCTTGCCAAAAACAAGTAAGAGCATTTAACCCCTAGTTTGAGCAAGAGTCTTACAACTTTAAAAAAAAATTTATCTGGTGTATTCCAGCTTATGAATGTTTTAAATTTATTTTCAAATGCTTGATAATTACTACTTCTATAGTGTTTTTCTCCTCCATAAGGCATTTTTCATCTCTAACCATGGAAGATACTGGATAATGTAAAGGTAACACATTTGAAAAATTTATCAAAGGGATAAGAAACTAAATAAAATGATTAAATAAAAAATGTAAACACTTTAAAATCATCCTCCCAAACTCCAACTCTATTTCAATTTAAAATTTAAGAAAAGTGAGCCAGCCCCCCCAAAAAAAATCTACAACAGAATTATTGCTCACTTAATCCCAACTGCACTATTAGGAAATTAAACTACTGAGAGTTCCTAAAAATTTATTTGAACAGTTATCCCCCTAAGTGTCAATTGTAAGCATTATAAACTGATTTTGTAAAAAAGTCAGTTAAAATCTGAATACTGTTTGCCTTCCCTATCCACAGGTTCCACAACCCCAGAAGTACTCACAAATGAAAAAGCAATGAAGCAGTCAAAGCAAACCCCTAAAGGCACTGTAAGGTGCTATTTCTACACTATTTACATGGTCCTAAATATTAAAAGCAACCAGCTATTATTTAAAGTACATGAGAGAGGATGTGCACAGGTTTTATGTATGTATTATACCATTTTATGTAAAATACTTGAATACTCACTTATCTGGTCTCCATGGAATTCCTAGAACCAATGCCCCATGGATATTAAGGGATCATTGTCCCACAACAGGACTGCCACATACCTGATAGTGATGCAGTCGGCCACTCTCTCCTTTAGGTCCTGCATGTCCAACTGTGCCTAACCCAAAGCACCCTGCCAGGAACTGTAGCCTCACAGATGTAAGCAGTGTGGATGACTGGAAGCCTGAGCTTGACCTGCTTCCTCCCAGAGAGATGCTACCTTTTTCCTCCATTCCAGACAACAGAACAAGGATCTGGTGAAGTGCCTCTAAGCGAAGCTTGAGAAAAAGTGAAAGATACAGTTTTTAAGAGTAGTTTTTCACTAAACTCAAACATAAAGAAAATTCTTTCACAGACAAACTTATTATTCAGCACACAGTAAATTGTGACATTTCCTAGGAACCTATTTGATTTTAAGAAAAACTTTCATTTTGTTGATAATCCTTAAAATAAAAATGTATGTACTCTGTAAATAAAATTCATCAGCATAAAAGTGGGAGGACAGGCAATCTCCTCCCAGGCCATTTGCTGCCTCTGTAAACCCACTGGAGGGTCAGCTATGAGTCAGTTCCACATTGACACATAAGACCATCAACAATAAAAGTGGCTTGTATGAAGGGAAAAAGAAGTGTTGGGTGTGGAAGATTTTGTTTCAAGACTAGACTCTTCCAACTACTGTGAGGCCTTGAGAAAGTCACTTAATTTCCCGAATCTTAGTTGTATCATATGTATATGCAGCTCACGAGAAGATGGGGAGATATCAAAAGAATAAGGTAGCACTGTTATTTCATCCTTACTCTGCAGTAAAGTATATAGAATGAGCACTCAGAAATACAAGGAGTGCTTCTTATGAACTGGCACCAAATTCCCTGGGAGAACTTATCAGCAGTCCACCAGCCTATTTCTCAAAAAAAATTTTTAAAAGCATTTTTGATTTACAGAATAGTAAGAATTCTTGTATACCTTTCCTCTAATGTTAACATCTCGTAAAACCAGGATGCATGCATCAATCCTAAGGAATGAACACGGGTATATGCTATTAATTAAACCAAGTGCATTTTGCTAGTTTTCCCAAAATGCCCCCTTTTTTTCCCCAGGACACTACTTTCTCAGTCTTTCCCTGCATTTAATCAACTTAATATTTTTGAAGAGCTGCCCAGTATTTTGTAGACTATTTCCCCATTTGTGTTTGCCTCATCTCTGAATTGGGGTGTTGGAGAAGAGTAATGAATATCTCCAGGACTTCCAGAAGAACAAACAGGTACGTCTTGGAGAAGGTGCAGGCACAGTGCTCCTCAGAGGCAAAGATGACGAAGATGCATCTTACATACTTTAGACATGTTGCCAGAAGAGATTATTCCTTTGAGAGGGACATCACGCTTGGGATAGTGGAGAGGCAATGAAAGATAAGAAGATCCTCAATTAGGTGGGTTGCCACACTGACTGCAGTTTATTGGCCTGTGTCAGAGATTGTGAGGATGGTACACAACAGGTCAGGATTCAAATCTGTTGTTCATAGGGTTGTTATGAATAATACTCAACTTGACAGCACCTAACAACAACAACATTCCTTGGAAAGGGGAATCATGGTTGGAATGGCGGAGGGTCAGTGGAAGAAAGGAAGACTCAAGATATGGACTGACACAGTGATTGCTGCGATGGGCTCTGTGTCAGGGACAATAAGGATGGGGCAGGAATAGGACAGAGTTCAGACCGGTTGTTCACAGGGTCTCTATGAGTCTTATTCAACTTGATGGCACTTAACAAGAACATGCTCTCTCATGACTGGACTGTAGTCATGCATTTTTGGGGTAGAACATCACATGGTGAGAGCTCTTCTTAACACATTACATCAGGGAGTGCCTGATAGCTACATGACTTATCACTGGTGATGTTAATTTTTTTTTCTTTACTCTCAATCTTGGTTTTCTATTCTTTTTTTCTTTTTTTTTTGGTGCTGGTAATCTTGATAACTTGTTCAAGGTGATGCTTGCTAGATTTCTGCAATGCAAATGTATTCTTTTCCCCTATTTATACTCTGTGTGTATAAGCAAGTCATTATGTCCAATCCACACTCTAAAGGGTGGGTGAATTAAGCTCACTCTCCTGGAAAGAGTAGTCTCAAAGGTTTTGTTTACATATTAAAATCAAAATGATTAAAAAAAAAACTTTGCGAATGATACTTTGAGGCACTGTAATTTTAGTTTCTCCTTAAAGTTTAGCCCACTAATTCCAGCCTTCATCAGCAGGTGCTGTGTGCTGCATTTCTGCTGGGGGTTCTAATACAGCCCTTTCAAAATGAGATGGATGAGTCCACAGTCAGAACTTTGAATAGCACATTCCCACAGTCCCAGCCACGCTCGAGTTCCCCTACTTTCTAGGAGATAATGATAAATTTATGAGAAAAGGATCTTATTCCAAGAGATGGCAATAAAAAGATACTCTGTCCAATTCAAACAAAACTCTGTTTAGTTAAACAAAGCAACATCAAAAACCTCAGGTGAAAGGAAGGAATAAGCAAGGAAAAAAGGAGTAGTCTGTCCTAGAAATGAATATTCAGTGATTTCACAGAAGGTTCCAGAGTGCCCCACAAAGAGTAAACACTTACTTCTGCCCTTAGCTGCTGCTGTTCCATGGCAATGATGGAGGCCTGTGGGCTGGTAGACATACATTCCTCTGGTTCTTTAAAACCTGGGGCATTCCCCACATCTCCACTCACAAAGCTGACAACATTTTCAATCAAAGTGTGAACTCCCAAAGACTTGGTAAGATCAAAGTCAGATTCAAAGGAATAGGAGTTGTACAACCAGTCTCTGCTGTGTTTAAGGCGAGTCCAGGAGTCACTCAGGGATTCCAACTGACTGTGCATGAGACCTATATACAAAAAGAAAAAATCTGCATTAATGGCAACCAAAGAGAACAAACATTCTTAAACAAGGTGAGAGCTGAGCATTGTTACCATTACCAACTGGTGAAAATGGATACTTATATTTGGACATATGCATGCATTAAGTGAATCTGAGCAAAATGCTTTGGTAAAAAAACAAATAAAAACTAAAGCAATGTAAGAAAGTAAAGGAAAAGCCCTCTTTGATGTACCATTGTCTCTGTAAGTGCTTTAGCAACACACGGCCACAATTAAAAAAAGAAAAAAAAATTAGAAGCTGCTGTCAAAATGTTTAAACTCTCTGCAATTATTACACCAAACCATCACTGATGAACAAGAAGGAACTAGGCACTTGGACCACTGGTGGGAAGATCTCTCAATGTAAGAATTTAATCTGACTTAACACTATCATTGCAAAACATAAGGTAAGACTGCACATATCTATATTTATGCAATGAAACATTAGAAAAAAGGATATGGAAGGGCAAGTAAACATACACAGAAAAAGGAGACACATCTTTGAGTTTCATTAATACAAGGAACAGCCACTTTCACTGACTGTGTTTTGTGTATATTTACTATAAAGTATAATATTCATATATATTAATATATACTGATGAGTTGAGAATATATAAATCATAGATGAAACTAAGATTTTCTACAGTAAAATCTGTCAAGGTTAGAACCTATTTAAGGCAGAAACCTATCAGAGAAAGAAAAACAAATCTTTTTCTCTAGCAGAGAAAATGCTCTATAAGACTGGACCACGTTAAAGGTGGAAAACTTTCAAGACTCAGGAAAACAAAGTAGTCTTGTTGAGTTCCAGCTAGCACTGTGTAAAATGATGCCTACAGTTAAATTATTATTTTAGTATTTTAACATTACATGTGACACATATGGTATCACAATAGTTGTTGAATCCCATTAGTTTTGCCAGCGGGCATTTTCTAGGCTAAAATCTTTACCTGTAAACACCCCCCCCCAAAAAGCAACTGTTCAAGCCATTTGCAATTAGATTTAATAAAGATTAAAATGTTCAATTCTTGCACAGCTTGTGTTCTTGAATTTAATTGATATCAGGTACATGAACTAGATTAATTATAAGCTGGGTAGTCCAGGATACACTCTCATTATTGGTTCACTCATAGCCTTCTACATATTTGAATTTACATATTTGCTTATAACACACACTGTGAATAAGAACTAGAAAACAACAGTAACTAATCTATCCATTTGTTCTTCTTGCAAATTCCTTGCCTCCTCCTAGCTGAGGCAATCACCACATTTATGAGAGTTTATCATTCTCTTTCTGTAATACTGTTAAATACATAGCTTTTTGTTTTCATAAAATGAAAAATGTTTTAGTTCTTCACATTCTAAAATAGACTATCACTTAATGTAACCACTTAGGACATAAATTCTGTTAGCATTCATCTATATTATTGTGTGTAAGCATGTTTGTTTCAACAGTTGTAATATTCAGTTATGTGAATATACTAAATTTCTCCATTAGGAATGCAGAAGGTATCCAATAATATTTACAAGGCAAAAATTTAACTTGTTAAATAACTAAATAGAAAATATTTGGGACAATAACTACTTAAATAACAATTAATGCTCACAAGGAAAAACCCCAACTAAGTCATTAACAAATATAAAATTTCATTACATTTATTATTACTTATGGTATTGGTGACAGGGAAAATACAGGACTTTAAAATCTGCCATGAAAATTTATAAGGGGAAGCTATTATTATAAATTCAAACTAACTGCTGTTAAACCCTCCATCAGGTTTCCAGAGCCATGAATCTTCAGGAGAGGGAGTGTCTTTCCTAAGCGGAGCTTTAAGCTGCCTGATGTTTATGGCCTTTTCATCAGCTGTGCAGTGAAAACTACATCATTACAACTACATCATCAGAGCTCCTTTCATTATAAAGCAACCATGATATAAATTATATGCATTTTAGTACAATAATTTACAATGGTAAAATACACACGTGACTAGTCTACCTTTTATGTTTTTAAAGAAATTCACAAGATAAAAAGTTTTTCTGATAATCATCAATGTGGGAATTTTTTGAGATTATACAGTTTAATATTTTCCATATAAAATGAAGCAAAAGAGTAAACATTCAAAGATAGCACATCAAATAAATAATGTATTAAACTAAAAATGTTAAAGTCACTACAAACTTGAGGAAATATTATTTTTCTATTTTTTTAAGCATCCTAAATTTAGAATCTGGACTTATTCTTAACTGACATATTATAGTTTTTGTCTCCTTGCACTAAGGTTTGGGTTTTTTTTTTAAAAAAAAAATAGAATTTCTGAACTGTTTTCCAACTTAGAAATTATTTCCAAAATTAAAATACATAACTAAGCTACTGCTAGAGCCAGAGAACTATAAGAGACCTTAAGGATGATCAGATCCAATTTAATCCATTGAGGAAATGGAAATTTAAAGAAAATGACCCATCAAATTGACAACATGAATTCCTTAATTTTATGGGAGGTAGTTTTGCACATTCCTATTACTGTGTCAACTCACAAGTTACTAACCCATGGAAATGTCAATTGCTTGCCTACACAAAGGTTTAATCATGAAATACAATTAGAGAATTATCTTCATTTACACCAAAATATTCTGTAGAGTGGCTGACCAAATCTGAAGCTAAATCTTTTCTGAAATAAAAAGCAGAGATCAGCAAGCTTTCTCTGTGAGGGCAGACAGTAACTATTTTAGGCTTTGCAGTCCATACCACCTCTTATCACAGACTCAATTCTGCTGTTGTATAAAAGCAGCCAGAGACAATACATCAATAAATGAGCATAATTGGGTTCCAATAAAATCTTATTTACAAACAAGTGGCAGGCCAGATTTGGCTCACTGATCCACAAAATCTGTTAAAAGTTAATTTAAAGAATATAGCTTATTAGGTGAATGGCCCAAATAAAACTCTATATGAATAAATTACAAGAGCAGGAGAAACACTGCCTGAAGCATTAAAATGAATAAATAAAATAATTTAAATTAAAAAATCCAGTCTAACATTAAAAATACTTTGAAACACAAAAATTGATAGCATGGAAATGGGAAATGGAGAGATTCAAAATAAACGCAGAAATAAGCAACTAGTTTGTTCTGTGTTGTTTTATAGAAATCTAGGAAATATTATGCCTGAGAGCATATCTAAAATTTCTACAGCAAAATTGAGACTTGGCCCAATTCTTACTGACTGCTTAATTCAAAGTCACCTAGTATATTAAAAAAACATGTCCAACAATAAATTTTTTAGATTGTTTACTTGTCCTTGTAACTTTGGTTTTTAAATGAAACTTTTAAAATGAACATGGCAGAGCCGCAATACATACTTTATAGACCATAAAATATGTAGGCAAGCTAAAAGGGGAAAAAAATTAAACATGCCATCATGTACTTGCTTGAAGCTCTTCTTTTTTCTGGGGCTCAACTGGCCAAAAAGGAGTAAATACACTACCACACAAGATCAGAAGACAAAAGGAGAAATTTGATACAGGAGACAACATGTACATTTATTTGCTCTTCTTTCTTTCATAATTCTATTTGAAATGCATAAATAAAACTGCATTTCATCTATACATTTCACAACACAAGACACATGCTGCTAAATGTTTCCAGGATTATTCTAAAACAAAATCCTAACACTGTATTTGAAGACTTAGAAGAAGAAGAAGGAAAAAAAAACTTTATAGTATTTTAACTAATAAGATTCCTGATGTTGTTTCTTAAACTGATGCTTTGATAACCCAGACATTTTTTTATTCTATCAGTTATTCTGACTAAAATAAGAAATGGAAATCAAATATCTGCAAAAGATAATTTAAATCTATAAAGAGTAAGTTCAGTTTAAAACAATGATAGCAAATCTTTCACCTAAGTACAAAAATTGCAAAATATTTTGATAGGTTTTATCAAGAATTTTGACAGGATATTGTTATTTAAAGTTTGTATTCTTGAAGTGAACAATGAGTGCCATGCAATAAACAGTACATAAGTGCTTAATAAATGTGAATGTTATGCATCTTCTAGGAGATAAGAAGAAGTCTCTGTTTCATTTTAAAATAACTTACGATACATTTGGTTTTAGAATTTAGTTTTGATGACTTTAAGAACCTAAGCAAGAAGGTTGAACTAAATGAATCTGTTCATATTCCATTCTTACCATTCACTTTTTTGGACCAAATATTTTACTACTGAAAAACATTAACAAGACTGAAAGGAGAAGGAGCTGTTATGTTTGATCCGCATGAACCCTTGTGCCCTCAATGTCAAATAATCAATTTGTAGGCTACAGGCCTTATCAATAAGGAGTCTTCGAAAGCATTATTTTTGTTCTTGTTGATTGTCTTTGAATCTAGCACGACTTATAGCCATCCTATGACCAAAGGGCCTTGAAGCCCCTCTACAACTATCGACATTTATCAAAGTTCACAGAGTTTCTGGAGGCATGTTGTTTAAGAAGTGGATGCCACTCCTCCTTAGAACGTCTGAAAAATATACATACAATCATTAACTATCATTGATACAGCCAATTAATTTCTTTTTTTTTTAATTTTTTTTATTTTGTGTGCGTGTACCGTCAAATCAGATCTGACTGGTACAGGAGGATATTGCACCTCCTTCTCCGGCAGAGCGTCTGGTGGATTCGAACCGAGCCAATTAATTTCTATTAAAACAAAATAAACATCTCTTTTTTTACTGGTCTTGTCAGACTTAAAAAAATTCATAAAACCATGGAAATAAATGTAACTGACTATGGAAAAAAGTTTACATTTCATTTTCAAAATATTGGAAGAGGGTAGAGCAGCACATAGAAAAACTCTCACTTGGCTGGGTATTTGCTTGTCAGAAGATAAATGGAGACATTTCATACAGGAGGCAATGTTTGCATTTGCTTTTTAAATTTACATGGCTCAGATGAGACTCAGAAGAGCAGTCAAGTTTGAATGGTCCTAAATAGTTCTCAAATGTGGTATGGTCATCTGCTCAACTGACGATAGGTATATTATGGTTTATAGGATATGGCCCATATTTACAATATATAAGAAAAATATAGAATAGTTTATTTTAATATCTTTTAAGACAACAAAAAAAAGCCAAATAAATAAGCTGGGGGAAGGGCACCCACTTTGGATAGAGTTTTATATATTTAAAAATATTTTTCTACTGTAATTTTCCTTTTGAAGGAGAAAATCTATTATAACTAAATGAAGATGGAAACTGTAGATCTTCATTGTTTAATTCACAAATTCTAGGGTTTATAAATCTAAGACTGAAAAGTTTTTAAATTTTTTTTTTGTCCTTTCTAAAACAAAAACTACTCTATTTGCTTGTCATCAGTCTCTAAAAGCAAAACCATGAGCAAAAATGTTGCCTGGGAACACTAAAATGGAGTAACAACTAAATTATTATCACACTAAAAGACATAATGAAAATATAAATAAGCAGGATGTTTCCATATTGTATCTTCCCAAATGGGTCTGTCTCATTGCCGTCAAGCCAGAACCGACTCAGAACTGACCCCCCCCCCCCCCCACCCCACCGCAAGCAGGTTTCTGAAGCTGTAAATTGCACGGGAGGAGACTGCCCATCTTTCTTCTGAGAAGCCATTAGTGGATTTGAGTTTCCCCAGACCTGGCCTTTGGGTTAGCCAGAAAACTCGCTATGGATTACAATACCAGAGCTCCCTTTCTAAATGAGTAGTCTGGAAAAAAGAGAAAGCTTTACCCATTAGGTACTGTATATAGTTTCTCTGTTTTAAAAAATAAAAATTATGGCCAGTTTGGGAAAGAATGGTTATTGAAAAGCAAAATGTGGGTTAATGGCTCAAATTCATTTACATCTATTTAGCTATAAAACTATAGAAAATCCACAATAAGTATTTAAAAATTATTTTCATGTTATTTAAATGTGATATGTTCATCCCTCTGAATTCTATGTTGCTGATAATTCAACAAGAAAAAAGTCATTTTTCTCTTTTATTCCAAAGATATTACTTTATTACATACTTGGCTAATACTGGTTGCATCTCAAATTTATATTTCTGTATGCCTGATAAAGAGCTGAGAGGAAATGGTAATTTTAGTCAACAAACTTACTTATAAATGAAAATATAATTAGTATACAAGAAAGCTCCTCTTAGAGGCTGGAATCCTATGGTATTCAATCTGAAACCACTTTCTAAACCACTTTCTCTTTATCATCAAATGACAAATTAGTGTAACATTGACATTTCAGCAACAACACGAGCAAAACAGAAATTTAATTCCTAATGCAAGTGGTTAATTATGACAAATGAACTGGAAATTTTCAAATATAAAAGATAACTTTTATAAAGATACATTTTCAACCTAAAAGATATATATCTCACATTATACTATCACTTAAATTCTGATAGCACACATGATTTATAATCTTTTTAGAAACACAGCAGCTTTAATAAGTGTATATTTTCAAAAGATTTTTCAATAAAGAAAGCATCAGCTCTGATCTCTATCATTCCTAGTATTTTAAAAAAATCTTTCTATTATAACTAAAGAGTTAAAAACTCTCAAGTTAGAGATGTTCCAAAATTTCTTCTTGGAGTCAGAATGAAAATAAAACAAAACAACACATTGATGTGTATGTTTCTTTCTCTCATGTCTCAGGTTTCCCTCCTACTTGTTTTTCCTAAAAGAAAAACTCACCTTTCCACCAAGAAATCAAGAAAGAGAAGATTTTATTTTGTAATATAAGATATTTACTATGTAGGGTGTTAGCTAAAAAGTTGGCTTTTCTAGCCATGTTATCCTCTTCTGGTCTCCAGCTACCTTAATTGTAGATGCATGGTCTTGCAAATCATCAACAGTTGTGGGATTAGGATATGACAAAGAGTGCTTTCCACACCAGGCAGCAAGATTTGAGGGATACTGGAGTGAGACTCTGGTGACAGCGAGACTCTGGTGATGGGGTAGAGAGACTGTGGCATTGCTGTGGAGAAACTGTGGCAAAGTGTAAACAGAGGAGCTCTGAGAGAAAGGCCACAGTTAGAGGCTGCTATTCTTGCCAGATGATGGAAGGAAAAGCTGATTGTTGGACAGAAACTGGAGCCTGGGTTAATTGAGGAATTGTGCCTTGGGACTGCTGGACTAAACCTAGAATTGCATTGGGTGATACTCTTTGTCTCTCCCATTCTCTAACGTATTTCCCTAATAAATCCCACTCTTGGTACTACAGTCTGTGAGTCAACAATATTAAACAAATCTCTTGCTGCTTATTTGGCTCTAAAGGCATCATGAGGCTGAGCTGAGCTCTTTATGTGCTTTCTGCTCTGGGGCAGTGAGAAGCTGTGCTATTCGTACTCCTTCTGGCCATTTCAGAGAGAAGCTCTTGGCCTAGTGCCCTCATGTCCCATTTTCTGCTCTCTAGGTAGAATCATAGAATTCCTTTTCCCTTGCAGGCATTTAGAAACCTGCCAATACTGGCAATTTTTAACATTTCAAATTTTCTTATCCACAGCATGAATAAATTTAGTAAAAGTGTTTTCTAACAAAGAATAATATTCTGCAACTTTTTAGTTACCCTTTGATTTACATTCTCTAATTGCTGCTCTTACCTTCTATTCATGTATAAAACCAAGAGTTAACTACAGTATTTAAGGGAAAACTCTCCAAAATAATCATCAGTTCATCACCTACATGCTGTATTTTCTTTTTTTTAATTTTTAAAAAATTTTTATTGTATTGTTTTTATGTGTACCGTCAAATCAGATCTGATTGGTACAGGAGGAGATTGTCCCCTCCTTCTCCAGCAGAGCATCTGGTGGATTCAAACCACGTACCTCTGGGATTGCAGTGCAGCATCTTGCCACTAGGCCACCAGAGCTTCCTTCACATGCTGTATTTTCAAAAGTCAAGAAAGAAAAACTTGAGGACGACCAGTTTGAAAATGTGTGTATCTATGTACGGAGGCCACCAGTATTCAGAATAGCCTGGAAAGCAACTGATTTTTGTGTGTATGTGAGGAAAAGAGGTGGCTAAGGTCAAAAGAAGTTTTCCCTGTAACATTATTTAAACTACCAATTCACTGCTATCAAATCATAGACCCAGTTTATAGCTGAACTCATACTTAAAAATCACCTGGAGGAGAATGCTCATCTTTCTCCCAAGGTAGATTTGAACCGCCAGAGAGGTGCCACCTTTGGGTTAGCAGCACAATATCCAATGAACTACAGTACTATTTACGGTATAGTAAATATATTAAAAAGCTAAAATTTATGTTGAATTATGCATACAAATTTCAAGAAATGCACTATTTGTGAAAATCCCTACAATTTTTTTTAAAAGTCCAAAATATGACCAACAGAAACAGAACTGATTATTTCTAGATTATAGAAGCACATATGAAGAAAAGTCTCAAATCAAATACATCAAGTATCTTTTTTTTATAAATGACTGCTTACTTTTGGTAAATATTTGGTGTGTTCTGAAGACTCACCTCTCTTCCTGTGCGATGATGCCAAGTCCAAATCAACATTTCGTCTCCCACTCTATTAAATGCAAATACATAAATACTGAGTTATGAAAATATTTTCAATTTAAGATTAAAGTGTTAAAATAAAAATCATTACAGTGATGTCCTACTTATCAAGTAGTCAGACTAACAAAGTTCCATTTTCCAACATTATTTTTTTTATTTATCTTCACTTCCCTTTCTTTCCAAAACTCCCAAAAACTGTGACTAAGAGGAGATGTTGACAAATCCATTATCAAGAAAAAAAAAACCCACATCGTTTTAGACTCGTATTATTTTAAAAAGAGTTTTTAAAGGTTTTCAAAGACAAAGAAATCTAAAGCAGTCAAAGTTCAGGCAGTATAACGAAACACAATGAAAATTTTCAGGTAGAAAGAAACTCTAATTTTACGCGTATTTTCTGGAAATTTCATATATATAATTTTCTACTTTGCCATAAATAAGGCTAACAATGCACAAACCACATGTGACTAAATTTTATGCAAATACTTAATATTATGTCTTAGCCATTTCAGTTGCACTCTTTCACAGTCAGAAAAGGTAGTGTTAAAGGGAAATAGCAGAGCTGACAAAACAGCTCCTTAAGGAAATGTCAGTGAAGAAAATCTTTACCTGGTCATGCATATAGGCATATATATACCTATGAGAGAAATATTTTCTCTTATACATGCACCCATGCATAGACACACATCCCAACATAATTAAGTATGTTAGGACATTTGTGACAGATAAAATAGACCTGGTTATACAATAGTTCTGAAGGCATCCTTGTGTCATTTTCATTACATATAATTCCATCATAAGGACTCATCAAAGAAATCTCAGGCTTAGAAACAGAAATCTATGTTTCTCTTGAACAGCTGGTATATTTTTTAGACACTATAAATCATGTAACTTACTGTACTATTCTGTGTTTCCTGTTTGCCTTGGCTTTTTAAAATATTTAGCACCAAACATGTAGCCTACCTCTAAAAATGTTTATTGATATAGGACATCACAAGATATACAATGATGTGTATATTCTAGTCCTCTCAGATTCTCCACTAACTCATTCATCTAATTTATCCTCTTTATTTTTTTAAGCTAAAACAAAACCTTTGAGATAATAATGGGACTAGATTAGCACAATGCAGAAAGAAATGATGATGATTTACAACCGCTGCTGATACAATATTTCAACTGAGGTTTAGAATTCACTGTCCACTAAAACAGGGAAGTAAATAACACGTACTACTTATTATTTTCACACACACAATGCCATCAAGTCAGAACTGATTCATAGCTTACTCTTGAGCAAGCAGGTTTTCTGAGGGTGTAAACCACACAAGAAGAGATTGCCCATTTTCTCCCATAGAGTAGTTGGTGAGTTCAGACTGCCTGCCTTTGGGTTGGCAGCAAAACTCCCAACCAATTAGGCTACCAGAGCTCCCTAAATTCAAACATGCTGCCATCAATTCAGGTCAAGCCAATCATTGATGACCCTGCAGTGGCTTTTTGGAGGCTGTAAATGGCACAGCATCTTTCTCCCTCAGAGAGGCTGGTGGGTTCCAACCGCCAGAGATGAAGCCTTTGGGTGAGCAATCCAACTTCCTGCTGACTGGACCACCAGAACTGTGGCTTGTTAACTTCAGAAATTTTAAAAATTAATTAATTAACAATTCAGCTTTTGTTTGGTTTTTAAATGACGGTTAACTTCAGTCATTTTTAAAAAGCATTTCAATCACTAACAATTCAAGATAAATGGGGCATTATTAGATATTAAGGATAGGAATAGTATTATTAAATAACTTTATACAGTACAGATGGGTAACATATTTTAGGGTAGTCAAAGTAGTCTCACTTTTACACTTCTTCATCAAGCCCAGGCTGGTTGAAACTCAACCCAAAATCCAAGTCTTTATCTTCAAATGAATCTGTGCTCTTTCTAGTTCTTACATTTTCTACTTAATTATGCTATTATTCTTTTAAACATTTCAGAAGAAAAGATGATCAAAAGTCAGATTCTGTTAAAAAAACATGTTTCTTAATATTTTAAAATGAATCTTAGCAGTTACTAGGTTAAGTCCTGGTCTACTGATCTGTCATTACCATTTATAATTTTCAAAATGTTTTGAAGTCATATTACTGAACTTGCAACCCAGCTGGAACAAATATAAAAATCCAGTGGAGGGTCATATATGAGTTCTGACTTGACAGCATATAATAATAACAATATTATATCCACAGTGGATATATAAAATAATAATAAAATATATAAAATCTGTAATGGAGATAAAAGTAGAGGATAGAAAAATTAAATATCTTGTCTCAGGTCAACATCCATAGTGAATCAAAATTATTTTAAATTAGATTCATTGTGTGTGTATACAGTATACGAAACATTAGGCAGTGGGTATCAGAGCCATTAGAAAAAACAAACTAGACCTGTAGAAACTGAAAATTAGTAAGACATAAATAAGTTCAAATGAAACAAATAATACATAATTTACTAGCGGTATTGTGAAGAACCCCGGCGGTGTAGAGCAATGTATGTTGAGCTGCTAACAAGTCCACCTGTAAGCTCAGTGGAAAAAAGACAGTCCTTTGATAGAGGGTCTATATGGCACAACTGCTATGCAAATAAAGATTTATTTTAAGTAAGAAATCTTGGAAAACTTTTGTAAAAGGTGAGATGTTAACTAGTAATTCAAGGAGAGACAAGACTTCAACAAGGAAACCATAGAGAAGAACAATTCAGTTAAGAACGCATGAGCAAAAAAAGCTTCTAGAGCTCTGTCAAGGTCTGGCAGATGGATGGCTGTCGTTGCTACGTGCCATCAAGTCAACTGTAACTCATAGTGATGCTATGAACAACAAATATGAACCCTGCTCTATCAGGCACCATCTTAGCATCTCTGGAATATTCTACTCACTGTTACAGTTACTATGTGAATCTACTTTAGTGAGGGTATTCTCTCAAGTACTGGTTCCTTCCTCCTGAATATATATGCCCAAAATAAGTAAAATGAAGTTTCATCATCCCTGCTTCTAAAGAGCACCCTTGTTGCATTTCCTTCAAGATAGATTTGTTTGTTCTTTGGAAGTTCATGGTATATTCAATACACTCCACGAACCTCGCAATTCAAAGGCAATTCTTCTGTCTTCCATAGTCATTGTTCACCTTTCAGATACCCAAGAAGCTTATGAAAATACCACGGCTTGGATCAGGTGCACCTTAGTCTTTATACTAAAACTGTTGATCTTTAGCACTTTGGAGAGGTTTTTGACAGCAGATTTCCCCCGCAAAACGTCTTTTATTTCCTGACTGCTACTACTATGGGTACTGACTATGGATCCAAGTAAAATGAAATCACCGACAATGTCAATCTTTTCTCTATCTATCACGATGTTGCCTACTGGTTCAGTGGTGAAGATTTTTGTTTTCTTGTTGTTGAGATGTAAAGCCATATTGAAGGGTGCAGTCATTTTCTGCCATAATTGCTTCAAGTCTTCCTCATTTTCTGCAAGCAAGGTTGTGTCTCTGCATTAATACAGCTTGTTAATGAGTCTTCCTCTAATCCTGATGTTTTGTTTTTCTTCATATATTCCAACTTCTAGAATTATTTGCTGACTCTATAGTTTGAATAAGTATGGAGAAAGGATATAGGACTGACACATACTTTTCCTGATTTTACAGATTCTTTCAAAGGAAAACTCCAAAAGCAGGTAAGTAACATTTCCTAGAAACTTGGATTTCTCAACAGGCAATGCAGAGTCTCTGAGTTTCTCTGAGCAGGAAGAAAGAATGACCAGTTAGTGTTTTGTTGATCTTGTTGCTGCCGTGTGTATGTGTCTGTGTGTGAGTGTCTGAAAAACTCATTGGGAGCAGTGTGTAAGGAATGACTCTGGAAAGAAGTAGGTAGATCAGCTGGAAAACTACCAGTCTACAAAGGTAATAAAATCCTGACAAAGAGCAAGAAAAAAATGAATGAGCACAAAAATTCTGCTGAGACTAACCAGTCCTTCAGTTAAAAAATAATAGTAGTACTTTTTTTTTTAACAGCCTATTATGTGCCAGGGACTACTACAGATCTTTGAGATATGGTAACAAATGAAACAGAAAAAAACCTGCCAGCAAAGAGGTAATTTATTAGTGTTATTAGTGTAGGCTGACAGAACTTATCAATAAATATAGTAAGTAAATCTTATATGAGTATATGCTATAGGGAACAAAGAGCAAAGAAAGATGGACAGAGGGTATGCAGAGGAGAGGAAAGGTACAATTTTAAACAGATTGTCAGGATATCCCCGTTTTAAAAAACGGCATCAGAACTTTTCCAAGTTCTTCAATTTTTTTTTTACTCTAAGTTCTCAATATTTTTAAGAACATCACCTTGAAGAAGATGAGGGAATTACCTGTGCAGAAAAGAGTATCCAGGAAGAAGAAACAGCCTTATTTCTTCTTCAGGGGAACCCACTTGTTATGTTAATGGAACTGTCAAAAAGCCCATGTGACAACAGGAGGGTCATTAGAAAGGACAGAAGGGCAAGAAGAGTTGCAGTGGGGTGGGCTAGTTCACATAGAGCCCATTAGGCGGTTAGGTTCTGCTCTCAGGAAAAGTGAAGTCACTGGAGGATTTTGAGCAAAGAAGTGCAATATATAATTTTTAATTTATTCTCATTAGTCTTTACTAACTGAATATTTAATAATTACCTAACTATTTTCAGAAATTGAGACCTTCATGATATAAGCTCTGCAGAATTAACATTTGTAACTTCACTGAACTGTGTTTGTCAATTATCGTAAGATTATGGGGTTGATAATGAAATGAAATGGTTGGAAAAATAAGTGAACTGAGAGGAAACTGAGTAGACTGTAGGACTAGTAGCATGAAGAGGGCAGAGAGATGGTAACGGACAAGTAGTAACTGAGGAAAAATAGACAAAGGCATCATGACGCAATGAAACCTGCTTGAAGACACTGCTTAACTTTATTTAGCCAACAAATTGATTTTTCTTGGAAGGTTCTTTTAAATAACAGCTTTATGTTTACAAAATACTTTAGATTTTTTTAAAAAAATTTCCATCTATAAGCTTAATTCGTTTAATAAAGGAATTTCAGTTCTAAAAATGGGGCTCATTGACTAATCAGTCCAAAATCTCAGAATTTCTTTTTTTATTATAGAGTGTGTGAGTGTGTGTGTGTGTGTGTGTGTGTGTGTGTACCATCAAATTGGATCTGACTGGTACAGGAGGAGACTGTCCCTCCTTTCCTGGCAGAGCATCTGGTGGATTCGAACCGTGCACCTCTGGGATTGCAGTGCAGCTTCTTGCCACTAGGCCACCAGAGCTCCCCTCAGAATTTCTTTTTTACCTGTCCCCTGATATGGCCAACATCTCACAGTCTTTCAGCAGCTGATTCAGGGCCAGCACCCAAATCTGACATATAGACATATACATAACAGCACTGCTGTCCTCCTTTCAGACAATGGAACATCATAGTCTAGAGAGGTCCAGGCACACACAACATCATACATAAGGCAGAGACACAACCCAAACAAAAATCCAGCTATCAACTCCAAGTCCAAAGCACTCTGAAATCTTGACAGGTAATTATTTTACCTTGACTGGAGCACACATTATTTCCTACTTCTTACATAAATTAGTACCTCACCTATTGTGATTTCTACTCTAAATGCCTAAATGTCTGTCATCCATGTTCTCGGGCTTTTTTTGGCAAGTAATTGAGAATTAGAGTAAGACTAAGAAAGCAGAAAGATTATAAGTAAAAGAGGTAGAAATACTTTAAATGTATTATTCTTGTGAAATGTAGAAGATAGGAACAAGATAGGAAGTAGGGCAAACAGTCTGGAGGCTTCTGCATCATTTCAGGCAAAAGAGAAAGAAGAATTTAAAAACAGCCAATGCTGGAGAGATGGAGGCAGGAGGACAAACTGGAAAACCCACTTAACAGTTCAATTTTCAAGTCTGGGTGACCAACTGCATTAAAGAGGTGAGAGAAATGCAAAGATAAGGAGATAAGACAGAAAAGTAAAGAAGGATGACCCCAGGTTTCTAGTCTGGGTAGACAGTATTATCTGCTAAGACAGAGAATATGAAAGAAGTCAGTCTGGGAGAAAGTTCAGTTCATTTCCAGGTAAGTTAAGATTAGGTTAACCCAGTATATTTATGTAGAATGTTCATTAAGGAATCAGATCTATGAATCTGTTGTTTAGGAAGAAGTTAAGACTAAAGATAGAAATTCGAGTCATTAACATATTGGTGATAAATATCTATATAATAAAATCATTTCTTTTAAAATGCTCTTTTATAAGATTTATATGTCTAAAATAAAGATATATGGCTTACTCTAACCAAAGTCTATGCAGCTATACCTTGAAAGCAAACACCTTCTTTACTGAATCTAGGAATACCTACCAGTGCGTAACCCTCTTCATCTGATTCAGGCTGAGACAAATCAGATTCACTCCTCGATTTGATCAGTCTATAATTTGGACTTGCGTGGACTAGCCGGCTCTCTGCAGTAAGACTTTCACTCCTGTCTCACATGCACAAAGAAAAGTTTTTCGATTTGGGAGTGTTAGTGAATATAAAATTAAATGGAACTACCAGCATAAAGATAATATATATACACACACACACACTCATACACACAGAGTGAGGAGTAAATTATTCCTGTCAATGGAAAATCCTGACCCCTGTGTCCACACAAAGCTCTTTTCAATTACATCAAAATGCCAATCAATTATAGAAAGATGTGAGTAACTTCTGGATTTTCAACTGTGGCTATTTATAAATATGAAAAAGTGTACCTTCTCATTAAATCATAAATTTATATTCCAGGTTGCATCAGTATTCCTGTTTAAATTACATTTAGCCTAACAAAGCTGCATTTCCTCCCCCACTTCCATGTTAATGAAAAAAACAAAAAACAAAAACAACCACCCCAACACAAAATAGTTTTTAACTTTGAGAACAAACCATTTCAATGCATAAAGTAATGATGAAGGAAGGGCTTTTCAAGTTTCTAGTCAATCCCACCTGGTCATAAGTCCACCCCCTTCAGAGGCACTTGTTGAAGGTTGCTGCAACTGTCCTTCTTCCCTTCGCTTCTGAAGCTCATCGATCACAGGGCTCACTCCTAATATTAACAAGGCACACCGATGGATGACGGAGTTGCAGGCAGCAGTGTACACATCCTGACCCTCGGGGAGGTCTGTGCTCACCCTTCGCTCTTGCTGAGACTGAGGAGGTGGATCATCAGCTCGAGCCCCAGACCCTGCCCCACTGCTCATTCTATCTCGATCTCGGCTACGAGCTACTTCACGGGCTGAGAGGAAACACTGAAAGATTTCTGTAACATGCAACACAAAAACAAGGTCTTAACACATGGGGAGAGAAGAGCAAAGAAAATAACAATAAAAATAGTCAAAAAGTTTGGACCAAAAACTTACTGAAAGAGGGAAAAAATATTTTTAGACAATAAATATCTTATTAGCACTATATAATAATGCACATACAACATTTTTTTATAACAACTACAAAAGACTTATAAGTGTTTACAGAGCTTAGATTTGACTGACTCTATTCTACTCTCACTAATGAGGCAGTTGCATGGTTTTCCATAGTTCTGGGTCAGCAGCATCTGGAAACATGTCAGTAACGGCAAATTCTCAAGTCCATCTCAGGCCTCCTATATCAGAAGCTCTGACAGTGGAGCTCAGCAATCTATTACTTAATAAATCTTTCAGGTGCTTCTGAAGTACACCAAAGTTTGTGAAACACTAAGTTAGAATAAGAAAACTGTTTCTCATACACTTGGTATGAAAACCATCATGTTACAAAGTAAAGTAAAAATTTACAGACTCCTTAGTTAAATGAATAGCTCCCTTTCTAAAGTTAAATTCCTAACACCAAAGCATCTACACTTGGCTTGGTTTTGAACACATTAAAGTAACACAATCACTAGATTAGAGCGGATTATGCATTATGGCTTTTCACATCTTTTACTTTGACTTTCACCACAGGACTACACAAAGTAGACTGCTACTAAGAGGAAAAAGTTTATAAATTTAAATGTAATAAGGATAAATTTTAAACACAGATAAGAAGCATCTTATAGGTAAGAACTTACAAATAAGGTGTGTATACCACTAACACAGGGATTGGTCAATATTGCCAATCTGCCAGCCTTACACTGAGCATGTTCAGAGGTAGATAATGGGAATCAGTTAACAGCAAGAAAGAAGCAGCAAAGAGTATATACCACATCCCTTAGGAGAGATTCCTGAGCAACATGGAATGACATCAAGACTTAAGAGCCCAGACCAGATGAACAAACATGGCAGAAAATAGACTGCTCGGGCTAGGGCTAGAGCTGCCCCTGCAGGGAGCCGGAGCTGAGCACCTAAGCCTAGGCTTACTGGTGGAGTCAAGGTGGAAGACACAGATGGCAAAACTAAAATAGTTTTGTAGCACTTGTCTGAATGAGAAGCTGTGAGGCAGCCTAGGGTCAGAAGCCTGTCTAGGAGAACATCTAAAAAAAGGCTGTTCTAATTTAAGAATTATATCCTTAGTGTTTCTGATGTGAATTATCATCTGGTCTTTCCCCAATCAATCCCATAATCAAACACTGTAAGTTCTGTGTATCCAATGCAATGAATTAGCAGATCTAGTAGTAACTCATGCGAGGGATGGTTTAGTGCGAGAATCATGGAAGGTATGAGATGTAGGGTACATGTCTGAATATCTCATCCAAACAGGTTTTATGCTATGAAAGTTTTTAATAAGTTTTTTCTTCCTTTGTAGATCGAATTAACGTCAGATGCCATTACTCCCACATCTACCACACTGATTTTACAATCATCAAAGGTCTTGGTGAAACAAAGACTTATATGTATGTGACACCAAATGGGTAAAGATAGCTTCCAGAGCCAACAAGCACTGCAAGAAATGTCTATCCAATGAAAACCTGCTCTAAACCAATTCACAAATGTAAAAGAGTCAGTGGAATTAACAGGGTAGATGTAATGACAGATAACTTTCAATAGGAAAAGAATGTTCTGCTCAAATTTGGACTAAAGGTGATATTCTTAATGAAGAATCCAGGCAATAAAAGCTGATAAAATAACTTGACTCATCCATAAAATGGAACTGTAAATTTTAAAAACCATCTGCATAGTTCATAAAATTATAAGGATATTACCATTATGTTGATACCTGTCTTTAACTCTATAAAAATCAAAGAAACAAATCCTGTCAGGGTTTATACCTAGAAACAGTTAAGTAGTTAAGTGCATGGCTATTAGAGTCTTGTGGCCTAAAGGTTATTTCCGACGGCCTTGTTGTTGTTGCTGTTGTATGCTGTCAGAATCTACTCATGGGTGATCCTCCAGCAAGTTTTCTGAGGCAGTTAATCACACATGAAAAGACTACCCATCCTTATTTCATGGAGTAGCTGGTGGGTTTGAACCACCTACCTTTGGGATTATGGCACAGCTTCTTACTACTAGGCAACTGTACTGTGGCTTTAGCCACATTATATTATTTCCTTAAGCCACCCAATTAAAATGTTCATCTTTAGAATGAGGACTCATGTCCAAAGTCTGTTGTGAGAATGTTAATCTATGTGAAGTACATGAGCTAGTGTCCATCATATGATAGTGTTCAAAAATTAGCTAGCATAGAAAGCATTACTTCCTAGTTGATAATCATTATTCCTTTTATGTTACTACACTGTTCAAGTAACACTTTGTTACTGTGGTTTCTCCTTTGGCCTTTGCTTCCAACAATTTTAAAGTACATTTTAAATTCAACTGGAGAGTTCCCTTAGCTTTGGTCTTTAAAATGTAAATATTTCCCCTTCAATTTTCTTTTCTCCATTTGGATCTTATCTTTCTGTTCTTGTTTTAATGGTTTTGTTATGAACTATAAATAATTTTAGAAGTATGCACAAGTAAGTATGCATAAGTAAGTCAATAATAAAGTCAATAAAGATTGACTGATCTGTACAGGCAATCCAAATATCAAATGGACAGCTGGTGTTAATGTTTTAGGATATAAAGTGAACATATCCTTTTACTTCAAATAGTCAAATTACTCAAAAAATAACTAGTAAATGTTTAAGAAGTTTGATACTAAACATTTAAATAATTAAAAACTTTCTGAAACTTTATAATATAAAAATATGAGCATGTTTTATTCAATTAGTAGCATTCTTAAGCATATTCCTGCATCCCACTGAAAACAGCAGTATAATTACTGGGTGGAGAAAAAAAATCTATATCTCATATGCAGAAAAATTAGGTTTTCCTATAAAAGCTTTAGAAGTGGGTTTCTCCTCCACTTTACAGAGGTTTGCCAGTCTGACAGACAGCTTGACACTCCCAGAAGGCATACTTTGGATGAGCTACATCCAGTAACAGGGCATCTGAGGACAGGGGCTGACATGTCCACTTCTAGAACTTTTTCTCTGAATACAGCTTCACAGTATGCTCAGCCCAAGTATAAGGGCCCATTCAAGTACAGTCTTAGAGAAGACTAACAAATTATGAGTATTAAATTGAAGAAAGATGAAGAAAACAAATTAAAATTCATTCAAAAATAGGTTTAAACTGATCTTCAGGTTTCATTTAAAGTATCTGAGTAGTTTTTTATGTATTCAAGGTAACCTTGAACTCAGCTCACAAGCAGTTTTAGAAAAACTAGAGAGCAATTTTTCTTTCTCTTCTTTATAAGTACCCTGACCAGAAAAAACGCCATGGTGTGTCGCTCCAAGGTAAGAAGGGTGTACTCACTGCCGGCTGTCATCACTTCATGCTCCCGATCTTCCTCCTCATCCTCTGGTTCGGGGTGTCCCTCCTCTCGGTCTCTTTCAGCTTGTTCTTCCATCTCAGCTTCTTCATCAATGGTCCGGGTAAACGAATGCTCTTGAGGATCAATGTCTGCAGAATCTTGATTTTCTGAGATCTTAAGGAAGTTATCAGAAATTACACTGAGTATCCTTTTATTTTTTTTTTTTTGAGAACTTTGAAAAACATCATTAAAACTTTAAGATGGTTTCATCAAAGAAAATATTGCTAATAACAACACATTAGTTTGACTACAAAACATATACATGTATGTGCATATACACACACTCAATGCAAATACACAGGAACATATATAATCTCTCTTCTTTGGTATTTTTCTTACAATGTCATACTTTAAGCTGGTTCATATTTATACTGCTCAACAGTAAATTTCTATAGATCTGCAGCGTAAAATTAGTGATGTTGAGTATAACAAAGCATATAAGGAAACTGAGGAACAGTAATGTGATTCTATCTTGCCTGCCTCAGGTTGTATTATTCTTGTTATTGCCTGGTCATGCACTATATTCATGAACTATATAGTATCATCACTCCGTACAAAAGTTTAGTAATTCTAAATTCAGCGTCAAGGACTCTCCTTCATAGGGTCGCTATGAGTTGCCTGCGACTCACCCGCACTTAACAACAATAACATCAACTGAGAGAAAGAGAGAGAGAGAGATCAGCTGGCCCAGTGAAGAGAAAACGATGTGACCAAGACAAAGGTGGGTGACTTTTAGTTCGCGGCCCTCACGCCAGTCTTTCATTGTTTTTGTTCAGACATTCCTCTAGGTCTTACAGCCCTAGTGTACAAATTGCTGTCCTGCGGTCTCTTGTGGTTGCTGTGAGGCTGAACATTGTGACACGGATGTGTCAAATGCGTTAATGTTTGGCTACCCATTGCGGACTTAGAGTGGGGTGGAGCTCCCCGATTGAACAAGCGTGGGAGGAGGAGTGGCATCCACCTCCATAATAGCTTGCCTCTGGAAAACCTATGAACTTGGAGAGAGGATGAAAGGCACCCAAGCGTCAAGGACTCTCCTTCATAGGGTCGCTATAAGTCACCAGCGACTCGACGGCACATAACAACAACAACAACAATTCTAAATTCAAATAGTATTATTTGGTTCCCCCTCTTTTATTTGGCCCTGAAGAAACAATAAAATTACAAGTCTATCAATGATAATGTTACCTTGATTTCTCATGGTCATCAGGCTAACTGGTGGTCACACACAGAGAAAGTCCTCACTAGTGGTGTTAAGAAAATCATCAGCACCATAACAGTGTATAATTGCTTCTTCAAAATTTCAGTAAAAAGTGTAACTAAAAAATGTAAGTGGTAACTTCATAGCCATAACAAAATTACTCTGTGATTTAGGATGATAGATAACTTAAAAATTCCATAGCAATGGGAATATTCACATAGTACATTACTGATTTAAGCCCATATTTGGAAGTTTCAAACTTAAACCTCAACAAAATGGCAAAATAATGTATCTCACAGATTTTCAAAGGCACTAAAAAAAGGTGATCGCTATAAATATTAAATTGGTGTAAGCCAAAAGTCTAGTGTAATACAAATGTAGAAGCAGAGTTAGTGTTAGGCTGCTGCTGATTTTTTTAATCTAAAAACTGAGTACAGAGTATTTAACGTGTTTATATTGAATAAGCAAACTCAGTCTCTTAAGGACAAATATCGCTAAGACAATTATTAAAACAAATAGAAGGATAGTAAGACGTATGTAAACGTCCAAAGCGGGAAGAGAGGCGGCAGGGGGTGAAGTGTGTGTGTGGTGGTGGAATCGCTGGGATGTCACTATTTGGTGGGTGGAGGAAGGTAAATTAGGAAAGATCCAATGAGGACCTGAATGGAAGGGGTAATAATATCCATAGATCAATGGTGATTGATTTTATAAAACACAATGTATATGAATGATATGTGAAACACAATGTGAATGAAGTGTGAAACACATTGTACGTGAATCAAACACAATGTATACAAATTGTGTATGCAAACCAATATAAAATAAAAACAAAACAATAAAAGTATTTAATGTGTAAAGTTTCAAAGAAGTCTGTTATCCACACTTATATTTATAGATCAACTCAAGTTCAAGGCACTCTGGTGACAAAGGCGGTGATTTTCTGGTTCAAACGCATGAGTGGTTCCTTTTTTCAGGATTACCCAGCACTTTACAAATCATCTCATTTTTGTTCTAAGAAATACCTTTTGCCCTGTCTTTAACACGTTGCCATACACTTTTAAATTGATGACCGTGTTTAGAAACACATTTTTTTGCCGTCATTTGCGGCAACATGTTAATAAATGGTTCCCATCTTCACTTCCATTGGTGGGCATCCCTAATTATTGGAAATATTTTTTGTTTTATTTTAAAAATATATTCCACTAACAATTCTGCATTAAATGGCTGCATTTTGGTCCATCAACTTTTGTCTCCTGGAACAAGGAACACACTTCTTTCCTAAGCAACATGGTACAGCAACTGTTGTTTATCCTCTTTGTTGTCACTTCTAGAATGAACATTTTTTATACTTTCCAGTTCTTGTGTAAATAACTTTTCACCCTCTCACCAATCTAAACTGTTACTATAAATCAGTTAATATCCCCCATAAATTATCCTGAGAAAATCAAGCCCACTGCTGAAGAATCAATTCCAACTCACAGAAACCTTATTGGACACATATTAACTACCCCATAAGGTTTTCAAGGCTGCAAAATCATTCTCTTTCAGAGTGACTAGGAGTTTAGAACTCCTTTATCTTTCAGTTGGAAGCCAAGTACTTAATCACTGTGCCACCAGGGATCCTTCACATAAATTATGGTACCCTAAATTAAATCAGGCTCTGTTGGCCTAGTGGCAAGAAGCTGCTGCAATCCTGAAGGCATGCAGGACAAGGATGGTCAATTTCCTCCTGAGCCATTAACTCTGAAAACCCGCGGGAGAGTCAGCTATGGGTTGGTTCCAACTCGATGGTACACAACAACAACAACAATAAATTAAACAGACTAATTCAAAAGAGTTCTGACCACTGTAGGGACTGTCCATGGTGGTACAGTGATTAATCACCTCAGCTGCTAACTAAATATTGTTGTTGTAAACTCCAGTGGGTTTACACAGGGAGTAAATAACACAGGAAACATCTCGTCTTTCTCCGATGGAGCAGCTGGTGAATTTGAACCACATGCCTTTGGGTTGGCACTAAGCCACCAGAGCTTCCTAATTAAAGAGGCTCAAATTCACACATTTTAAGGTGCCTTAAAAGAAACACTACATAGTCTATAAAACCCCACAGAATACAGTTCTACTTTTGACACACATGAGGTTGCTGTGAAGGGGAAATGACAAGATAATAACTGGTTCTGATCAGTATGAAAATGAGAAAAATACTTGCTGTAATTTGGACATTTTAACTTGTTATCATTAACGTTATTTATATGATCTAAGACTATATACATCAGGAACTCTGGTGGCCTAGTGGTACAAAGCTGCACTGCAATGCCAAAGGCACATGGTTTGAATTCAACCAACTGCTATGTGGAAGCAGAATGGGCAATTTCTCTTGTGTGATTTATAGTTTCTGAGAACCTGCTGGAGGGTTAGTTATGACTCGACGCTAAACAGCAAGAAGGCTATTTAAACTTTCTTTGAAGTCATATCGCACTTAATTAAAGGTAAATTAAAATCTTTCACTCCTGCATTCTTTTTTCACAAATAATGAAGGAAAAAACGATTCAATATTCAAGGCACATTTTTTCCTCATATAAAATAAATACAGAGCCATTTTTCACAGCTTACAGAAAAACAGTGAAATCACTGATTTCCAGGCTTACCCATCTGTCTCGTGATGACGACCTGGTTTGAATAAGTTCAAGGTTCTTGCAAGCTAGTAAACGACTCCGAACTTTGTACACACAACGGTACACTTCTGACAAGCTTTTCCCAGGTTGGTATCTAAATAAAGAACCAAAATAGTAAAGGTACCTAATTTCTAACATCATGAGAACAAATATTTGTCTGATGATAGTTTTTAAGTTACTTGCCGGCTTTCTCCACATGCTTGACTAAGTAAATTTGTGTGTTTCAGAAGAGCTGCAAGAACAAATCTAGATACAGTGTCCAAGAGTGACTCATTACTTAAAGTTGCACTGTCCCAATCTGAAAATAAAAATGATGCGTTGACATTTAAAAGGATTCAGAAAACAGTTCAGAGGTCATTTTAATAGTCTTGGTAATACAAATCTGAATCTTATCATCTTTCTAAATAGGTATTTAACAATTGCTGCTACTAGATCTCATAGCCTGTACTAGGTACTGGGGACGCAGCAGTGAACCAAACTAAGTTCCTGATCACAGTGTTTACATTCTAGTTGAGAGAGGAGAAAAGAAAACTGACATTATTACCATTATAAGTTAAGTGCTATGGAGAAAAAGAAAGCAAAGTGAAGAAGACAAGGACTGTTGTTTTGTGGAGCAATTATTTTAGAGTGTGGTCTTACGTGGAGTACTATTTTATTTAAATGTGCCCTGGCATGACTAAAACATAATGGGAAAAAAGTAGAAACTGCATCCTTCCACAGAGTTAATACATAAGCCCTACCAGAGTGCTCTTTGGAGGAAAAATGACAAAGTTTTGTCTCACATACTTTAGCCATGTTGCTAGGAAGGGTTATTCCTTGGAGAGGGACACCATGTTTGGGAAGATAGAGGATCAGCCAAAGGGAGTAAGACCCTCAACAACATGGATTGACACAGTGACGGCAGCCATGGGCTCTGGTGTGTCAGAGATGATGAGGACGGCACAGGATTCAGATCTGTCTCTATGAGTCATACTCAACTTGATAGCACCTAACAAAAACTGTTGGTTCAAGAAGGACAGTGTGGCTGGAGCAAAATGAGTATGTACCAGAGTGGCAAGAGAAAACAACGGAGTGAGCTGGCTAGGGACTACATTAAAAATGGGTCCTGTGGGCCACTGCAAGTTCAGGCTGCTATTACGTGTTATATGTCATTATGTTGTTATATGTGCTAAGTTTTGTTATATGCTATCGTGTCAAAACTGACTCAATAGCTGACCCTCCAGTAGATTTTCAGAGGCAGTAAATCACACAGGAGTTGACTGTCTATTTTTTTCCTGCAGAAGAGCTGGTGGATTCGAACCACGTGCCTTTGAATAGGCAGTGCAGCTCCTTACAACTAGGCCACCAGAGCAAGTACAACCATGTCTTATTTGATTATACTATGAAGATACTGCCTTTTCACAAATAGAAGGTTGTGGCAACCTATGCAAACAAGCCTACTGGCATGTTTATCCCAATGTATGCACTCACTCCATATCTCTGTCACATTCTGGTAATTCTCACAATATTTCAAACTTTTTCACACTGGAATTATATACTTAACAGACTGCAATATAGCACAAACATAACTCTTATATGCATCACTGTTAGGTGTGGTCAACTCTAGTATAACTCAGTGACCCAATGAACAACAGATCTGAATCCTGTACTATCCTCATCATCTCTGACACACTTGAGTTCACTGCTGCAGTCACTGTGTCAATCCATCTCATTGAGGGTTTTCCTACCTTTCACCGACCCTCCGCTTTTCCAAGCATGACGTTCCTTTCCAAAGAATAGCCCCCAAACAATATGCTCCAAGTATGTAAGACAAAGTTTGTCATCTTTTCGTCTAAGGAGCACTCTGGTTGCACTTTCTCCAAGACATATCTATTTGTTATTCTGATAGTCCAGGAGATGGATATTCAGTACTTTTCTTACTACCACAACTCAAAGGCACTGCTTCTTCTTGTCAAACTTTCCTATTGTTCAACTCTCAGATGCATAGTAGGTGATTGGAAAGACCACAGATCAGGTGCGAGTTAGTCTTTAAACTGGCATCACTGCTTTTTAGCACTTTGGAAAAGTTCCTGACAACAGACTTTTCCAATGCTATATGTCTCTTAATCTTCTGACTGCTGGTATCAAGGATACTGGCTATGGATCCAAGTAAGGCAAAATCATTTCCAATTTCAATCTTTTCTCCATTTCTCAGGATGTTGTCTGTTGTCCCAGTAGACAATAACAGACTTTTATTTTCTTAATACTGAAATGTAATCCATATTGAAGGCTGTAGTCCTTGATCTTCTTCAGCAAGCGCTTTAAATTCTTCTTGCTTTCAGTAAGCAAGGTTGTGTCATCTGCATAATGCAGGTTAAGAGTCTTCCCCTAATTCTGATGTCATATTATCCTCATCAAGTCCAGCTTCTCAAATAATTTGCTCAGTCTGCAGACTGAACAGGTCTGGAGAAAGGATACAGCCCTGATGCACACCTGTTTTTATTTTAAACCACACAGTGTTCCCTTGTGTTCAGACAACAGCTTCTTGGTCTACGTCTAGGTTTCATATTAGCATAATTAAGTGTCCTGGAATTCCTATTCTTCTCAGTGTGAAACATAGCTTGTTATGATCCACACAAATGCCTCTGCATAATCAACGAAACACAGATAGACATTCTTCTGGCATTATCTGCTTTCAGCTAGGATCCATCTAACATCAGCAATGGTGCCACAGTCTCTAGTAAACCCAGCTTAAGTTGTGTGGTTCACTTCATTGCACTCTCTGCTTGACTGTGGCAGTGGGCTCACCCTATCTCTGAGGTATGACTACTTTCTAGGTTTTACTGAGAAAAATGGAAAGCAGCAGAAGATGACTTTGAAAGAGTATGACATGATTTTACTTATGTTTTCAAAGGCTCATTCACTAACTGGAAAACTGACTATAACAAATGGCAGAACTGAAATAATCATGGTAATAATTCAGGGTAGAGATGATGGTAGTATAAAAGAAGATATTCTATATGTATTTTGTAAGTAGAGTTAAGAGGATTTGTAGAGGGATCCAATATATGATGTGACAGTATGTGAGGAGTCAAGCTAACTATAAATGGATTTAGAACATGGCTGGCATTTACTGTGAGAAGAAGAAAGCTTTGAGGGATAGGGAGGTGCAATGAAGATTGTGATTTTGAATGTTGTATCGTAAATATCCTACTAGCAGAAATAGTATTTAACTAACCAAGTGTGGATGATTTGACATTTAAAACAATGAAAACAGATAAATACCATGAAAAAAAAATATATATATTTGTTGTTGTTATGTACCATAGAGTCATAACAAACTCATAACTTCAGAAGTAGTAAACTTCATGGGAGGAGACTGCTCATATTTCTCCCATGGAGCACCTGATGGATTTGAACCACATGCTTTAGGGTTGGCAGCACAATTCCTTACCACTAGCCCACCAGAGCTCTTAGCTAAGAAATGAAACAACATTTGGGCCAACATGTACACATGTAATTAAAATTCCAAATCAAGGTATTAATCAAGTGCTTTTTTTCCTCATCTTTAATATCAAATTAGTATAATATACTTTTAAAATGCAGAATATTTAGATTTCAAGTAAGACTGAGATTACTATTCACCCTGCCACTACAATGACTGATAAAGCCCAATCACTGGGCAGACTGAATAAATATCAGTGCTATTTAAAAAAAGAAAAACTCTTGACTATATTAAAGTCCAAATTAATTTCATCTGTTCTTAATCCTCCTTTAAACTGCTATTTTTTTTTTAATTTTATTGTTTTTGTATGCGTGTACCGTCAAATCAAATCTGACTGGTACAGGAGGAGATTGTCCCTCCTTACCCGGCAGAGTATCTGGTGGATTCGAACCGTTCGCCTCTGGGATTGTAGTTGCAGCTCCTTGCCACTAGGCCACCAGAGCTCCCCCTTAAACTGCTAATTTTAAGAGATAACATGTTGCTATCTTGATTTTAAAGTCTCTTCTATACACATGAGTAAAAAATTTAAATTCAGATTTAACTACTTTTTGTGTGTAAAGCTTGAAAACAGGAATATGTCAGATTTCAAGAAAATCTTATAGCCAACAGAAAATCTTAAAGTATGTTTACATAACATACTTTACATAACATCTTCCACATCAAATTCTTGGGAAATAATTTGCTTCAAGGGATATTTCCTGCTACTGTCAGAATGGCTATGACCTAAAATCAAATAGGATACCCTCTGAAGGAGAGTAACATTAATAAACACCTAAAAATACACCCTCTGCTCTGCTTCAAATTTAGTTGTCACCTTCCAATGGCATTTTTAAAAGAAATGGGTTCCTTTAAAACAAGGTCATTAAAGTGATTTTCATTTCACATCAAGCACTACAGAATGTTTCCATTAACCAACCAGGTATAAAATCTATGCTATAATTTGCAAGCAATTCAGCAAATGGAGCCATACAATGAGTTTTTATTCATCTTATATTTATATATAATTTTAGAAAGTTCTCATTACAATGTAACAAGCAAAGATGTAAAAGAAAATCTAACTGCACATTCTAAGCAAATGATACAACTGTGAGAATATCACACACAGAAAATATATTTTAGAAAGCCTTTTTGTCTTCTATATCCGTATTTTTGTTCTCTGATGAAAGCCAATGCAAAAGTATAAATTGTCTAATAAATAATAAATAGATAAACAGTCAGAATACAATGTTTTAAAAATTGGAATAAGGTGTATTCCATTTCACTATTACACAAAATAAAAACCTTTTCAAAATGTATTTACTTGTATCATACAAAAAGAAGAAAACTTAAATGGGAACTAGAGCTAGGGCAAGGGAGAATAACATGGAAAAATGTAGAGATATGATTCTAAATAAAGCATGACACTGTCAAAGGGGAACATGGGACCTAAAAAGAAATGATTCCTCAATTGAAAAACTGTATATAAAATGAATTTTATTAGTGAAATAACACTGGAAACAAAAAATACTATCTTGTATTGTAATACTTTACTCCTATACTTAATTGTATACCTTGTCTTTAAATAGTCTTCATCAGGAATCTGAAATGGGTGACTATTTTTATATATGAGAGAACTGTGTCTAAATTTACAGCTTAGATGTTAAATATGTATCCTTTCAGTTCTTACAACAGGGCTTACACAGGGAAGATACCTATTTAAGCAGACTCTCTGATCACAGCAACATATATTAAATACTTTAGTGAAATGATTACCTATAAATTTTTTTCATATAGCTCTCAATTTTCATAAAGTAGATTTGCATGTACAGAACAAAGTACTTAAGGTCTCCACAAATGGATAAAAGAGTTTCTTTAAAAGTATTCTTTGTAAAACACTAAAAAAAGAGAAAGATCCTGTGATTTTTCTACTTACATATACTAATATACACACTAGTTAGCATGGAATTAACTGCACAGGTATTTACCCTCATTATCCTCTTCATCTTACCTTTACTAATAGCATAATCTTGCATGCTGATCCAAAGGCTTCGTGCAGGCTCTTTAGAACAACCCAATGCCAAGTCTACATAAACAGCAATTTCAGGCCGCAATCTGTAATCAAAAGGTTTCTGCTCTTCATTTCCTGAAAGAGCCACATCTAGTAGGCAACTCATACATTTATCTGGGGGGGGGAAATACTCAAGTTAGCAAATTTAAACTTCAGAAATGGTGTCTACAAATATCTTTACATTTATTTAACATATGTGAAACAATATACATCAGATCATTTTATTCAAAGATCTTTTAAAGTTTCTCAATTAGAGGATGTTGTTATTTAGAGGATGATGTTGTTATATACTGTCAAGTTGGAACTGACCCATAACTGACTCTCGGGCAAATTTCAGAGGTAGTACATTTCAAAGGGGAGAATGCCCATCTTTCTCTCATGGAACAGCTGGTGAATTCAAACAGCATACCTTGGCATTCGCAGCACAATTCTTCACCATTAAACCACTAGAGCTCCCTCTCTATTGCAGGTAGTAGAATCACTCTAACTATCTCCCCTTCCAGGAAGCATTTAGAAATGTAACTAGGGATTGCTGGAGGAGTTAGTGAGCACACCAGGGAGAACAACTGTCTTAATGTTTAGCACAATCTGTGTAACAAAGAGTTGCTATATTAAAACCAGAATTTCAAGTTTATTGAGAAACATGAAATCATTTTAAAGAAAGGAGGCAAAACTCTTCTTTTCCTAGACTTAGAGGAGTGCTGGTAGCCTAGTGGTAAGGAACTGTGTTGCAGTTTCTATGAAAAGATCTGAACCTTGTGCTATCCTGCACCATCCACACTGTCTCTGAGATATCCAGCCCCTTGGTAAAGTCATTGAATCAATCTATCTTAAGGGTCTTCCTCTCTCTCTTTCTCCTATATTTGCCAGCATCATATCTTCTTCTAAGAACTAGACTCTCCTGACAAAATGTCAAAATATGTGAAACGAAGTTTAACCATCCTTGTTTCTAAGGAGTAAACTGGTTTCATTTCCTCCAAGACAGTCTTGTTTGCTCTTTGGTAGTCCAGGGGATATTCAGTAATCTTCTCTAACACCGTAGTTCAAAAGCATCAACTCTTCTTCTGTCATCCTCCTTCACTGTTCAACTTTCAGATGCACAGGAAACAACTGAAAATATATGGCCTGTAACAAGCACCTTAAACTAACATCCTTGCTCCTTAACACTTTAGAGAGATCCCTGACAGACTATTTTCCGAATACAAAATGTCTTTTGATTTCTCAACTGCTGTTACCCTGGGTGTTGATTGTAGATTCAAGTAAAAAGAAACTGTTGACAACATCAATCTTATCTTTTCTCCATCTATCATGATGTTACCTATTTGTCCAGTAGTGAGAATTTTTGGGTTTTTTTGAGGCTAAGATGTAATCCTTATTGAAGGCTGCAATTTTTTATCTTCTGCAGCAAAAGCAGAATAGATATGGAGAAAGATACAGTCCTGATGCGTCTGTTTCCTGATTTTGAACAATGCAGTATTCCTTTGTTATTAACTTAGAAAGAAAACAAAAAAATAACCCTATAAAAACTGCTAGGAAAACAAACAGATTCATCCTGGAAAGAGTTAAACCGGGTGGCTCCTTGGAAGGCAAGGATTATGAGGCTCCAACTAACACACTTTGGACATGTTGTGAGGAGAGATCGGTCCTTAGAGAGGGACATCATGCTTGGGAGGGTGGAGGGACAGCACAGGAGAGGAAGGCCCTTTATGAAGTAGATTGATTCGGTGACTGGGGTAATTGGGATGAGAGTGTCACAGACAGTGCGATTGGCACAGAACAGAGCAGAGTTTAGGGCTGTTGTACATAGGGTCGCTATGAGTTGCAAGCGACTCGACAGCACACAACAACAACAACAACAACAACAACATATTAAAAACCAGTTATCTGAGTAAAAGGAATGTAATAATAAATATGAGGATGATAAAGTTCCTGTTAAACACTGTCAAGTCCAGGATGACTCATAGTGATCCTATGAAAACAGACCTGAACTCTTGTCCTGTCCTGTGCCATCGTCATCACCTCTGATATACTTGATCCCACTGCTGCAGTCACCAGATCAATCCAACTAGGTGAAGGTCTTCTTCTCTTTCACTGACTCTCCACCTTTCCAAGGTGATGTCCTTTTTCAAGGAATAGCCTCTACTAACAAAATGTCCAAAGTATGGGAGACAAAGCCTCCATTTTCTCTAAGATACAAGTTTGTTCTTTTGGCAGTCCATGAGACACTCAGCACTCTTCTCCAACACCACAACTAAAAGGTACTGATCTTTCTTCTGTCACTCTTATTCACTGTCCAGCTCTCAGATGCATATCAGATGACTAAAAAGATTATGACTTGAATCAGGCGCACTTTAGTCTTTAGGCTGACATTATTGCTCTTCAGTACTCTGGAGAGGTCTTTGACATCCATCTTTCCAGTGTAATAGATCCTTTGATAACTTGACTGCTGGTACCAATGGTACTGATTGTGGATCCAAGCAGTAAGATGCAGCCTATTGGCCTAGTAGCAAGGATCTTTGTTTTCTTGATCATGAGATGTAATCTATATTTGTAGGCTGCAGTGTTTGATCTTTTGCAACAAGTGTTTCAAGTTCTCCTCACTTTCGGCAAGCAAAGTTTTATCACTTACATAATGAAGGTTGTTGGTAAATTTTCCTCCAATCCTAATACCACATACTTTTTCATAAAATTCAGTTTCTGGAATGATGTGTTCAGCATATAGGTTGAATAGGTTATGAAGAAAGGATACAGCTATGACACATGCCTTTCTTGATTTTAAATCAAGCAGTGTCCTCTTGTTCTATTTCTGGGCACTCTCTCAGAGATCTTCTCTTATGAGAGAAAAAATGAATTTTAGGTCTAATAAAACAAGATATGGTATCTAACTCAGATACCACTCACATCACATCATGCCACTCACATCAGGAGTATTTGGCAAACGAGTACTAGTTCTGGTAAGCACTCTTGTCATGCTGTTTCACATCCCTTGAGCCTCAGAATACAAGTATTCAAACATTTTCCTATTTATATGAGTTAATGACTTCCCTAAAATTACTAATACATAGAGGGGACCAGGATCTGCATTCTCCTAGTTCAGGTACTACTTTCTCTGCACTATGTTATAGAATTTAACTGTTTTCTCTAAGACTACGAGTTACAGTCTCAGATCCTCTATGATGCTGGTGATGTATTTGTTTTTAATCAGTTCTCTACGGAGTAAACTCAGCAAAAGAGGAATCTCTAGTAGAGGTATAAACACAAGCATATATTTTGTGAGAAGCACATTACCTAACTGGGGAGTGTCCATTTCTACTCCATCACTAAAAAGTGGTGTTTTCATCCAATAGGCAGTATCTTGTTCCTCTGGAGACACAGGGGAGCCCTGAAGCATGCCACCAAGACATCGTCCAATAAGAAGAGCGATTGTTCTTTCCAGATCCACAAGCCAAACCCAGGACTGTGCTGGCTGAGGTAAGGGTACACCAGCAGGATCAATCAGTTCTGGACCTCCTGAAGACAAAATCAATAGTAATAATGTTTTTATCTGGCACTTCTATCAGCTTCTCTCATAACCTTAGAACAACACCAATTAAAAACCCCCAAACACAGTGATATTCTTCCAGACTTAAGAAGCTATATTCTATTACCTAAAATCATGAAGATTTTATAAATCAAGAGTGAATGAAAAACAAAAGAAAACAATGAATGCAGGTGCTATGTCTAAAATCAGAATGCTATTTCCTATAAAGTACTTGTACAGTACCTAAAAAGAAAATCTGGTTTCTAATTCCATCTTTTACGTTCAATTAACTATATACCCGTGATCCCTGGTGTTGGCACCACCACAAAGGTTGGTGGTTCAAATCTATCAGCTGCTCTGCAGGAGGAAGAGGAATTAATCTCCTGGCATGAAGACTTAGCCTCAGAAATCCTACAGGGCAGGCCTACTGTGTCTTATAGGGTTTTCACGAGTCAGAACTTATTCAGTGGCAGTGGGTTTGGTTATCTATATATTCAAACAATCCCAAATAGTGAACTTCTAGTAAAGATTTAAAAGTCAAAATTTATTATTAGATATATCATTAAGTATCTTTAAGGAAAAAAATAAAATCTGATGGTACACTAGTTAAAGCACTTAGATGTTAACTGAAAGGCTGGTGATTTGAATCCACCAGGGGCTTTGCAGAAGAAAGATGTTATAGTTTGCTTTTGAGAAGATTATCGCTTTGTAATGTAGGGGCAGTTCTACTTATAATTAGCCCAGAGTGAGTCTAGCTTTGGTTAAAGAAAAATTTCCAACCCCTGCCACATAAATTATGACACATTGCTTTCCCACTATAAGATGCATCTTAATTTCTACCATGTGCAAAAATGAAACAAAGTATATCTCTGAACGAGTGATATTCTGTCTTCAAATCCGATAACCAAAAGGGCCTTTTGTAGGACATTCCCGTATATAAGAGCAATTTCCATAACTTGTCTCAATTACTACTTTGGAATATAAGCTCTTGGGAAATAACAGCCTTATCTTTTTCATCATATAAAACACTCACATATCAGGCATGATTTACTTGATGAATATGAACTGGAATAACTTTTCTCTAAAGTATTATGTGCCCTTTTTAATCTCTTTTCCTTACCATGAAGAGGCCACTGTAACTCCTGGTCTTCTAAAAGAGCGGCAGCTGGCAGTAGTCTATTAAGGCAATCAAGAGGTGGCAACAGGTCTAGGAGATAACTCAATAAAGGCCGAGCCACCGACACCGGGAGTAACAGCAGGGAGTTAACAATCTGGCAGAGCATACTGCCTGCAGCAGAGACATAAATCACATCTAGAAGAAGAGGAAACACAACATGGATTGTTTCAGGCGAGCTGAAAAAGAAGATACAACCTAAGACGTTAACATTTGCGCCTAGAACAAGAGTGGACTAATTCCATAACTCTTTGTTGAACACTTACCTGGTTGCTGGGATGGCATCAGATTTACTCACTTTCTAATTAGTGCCACCAAGAGATGCATTTCAGGTAAGCATGCATACCTTCCGGGCCAACAAATTCACAGCTACTTCTTTTAAAATATGTTCTATATTTCTCATTCACAAACCTAGCCTCCTCTTTATTACACTTAGGCAAATAATTACTAAGTACCTATAATACATCAGGCACTAATATAGGTAAAATGGGAAACAGAAATGAGCAAAAATTCTCACCCTCAAAGTGCTTACATTTTAGTGAAGGAAGCCTGTATTTGAAAATTAGTATTTTTTTAAAAGAAAGATCACCTTGAAACATCACTTATGTTACCTATATTGGTCTAAATCAATTTTACATAATTTTTTAAGAAAAAAAAACAATAAATTATCTAAAATTACCTAGACAGCATACAAATTAGTTTCAAATTATTCACTGATATTTTTGCCAAACATCAGTCAATGAACCTAAGTATGTGTTAGACCCTGTGTTAGCACTGGAACTATGAGTGGAGTACATGATGCTCTCACAATAGCCTCAAGATGCCTGTGACCAGGTCTGTGACCAGGTAAAGGCAGACGGATAGCTATAATCAGGCAATTATCGTTACAGATGTGAAGAAGCACAACTTGACATGGGAGAACATGCAACATACAACCCACTTTTTGGGATCAGGTACCCTTCCGTAGTAAGATGAGAAAGTAATGTCTAAACTAAGACCTAAAGAATACATAGGCCCACATTCTCATCTATCCTGAGACCAGAAAATTAGATGACACTTGGGTGCCATCTAAATTCTGTCCTGCCCAGAAACACAATATAGCTGGCCCCCTACAGAATGGGAGAAAAATGTAGACCAAAACAGACACACACAAAAAAGAGAGTACAGATTTATGGCTATACCCAGAGACTAAGGAGCCCTGAAAAATTATTTAACATAGAACTGAAACCATTCCTAGAGGTCTTCTTTATCAGACTGGGTTCTGTACTAGTCATTATCACTAATGAGCCTGGAGCTTTTAAAAAAAGTCATCGTTATGAGACCAATTGGCCACCATTTATCCTGAAGCAAAAACAAGAAGGTAAAAGGGGGCAGAGAAGTGAGAATAATGGAAATACAGCCAGCATGAGACTGGTGATAAACTATGACAACTATAACAAATATCACTGAACAATATGTATATAAATTATAAAATGTAAACATATGTGTAAACTTTCCCTAAAACCACAGTATTCCAGGGCAAGGGAGAAAACAATCTGGAATTACCCTTAAAGGAATGTATGTATAAGTGTGTAGTGGAGTATGTGTAAGAGACAGAATCTGCAAAATATTCAGGAATAGGAAAGAGCTTAGCAAAATCCATTGAGCAACTGCAATTTGTTCAATATGGCTGAACCTTTACAATACAAGTTTGCAAGGGAAAGAGGAACATTGTGGGCAACAGATGTGGTAGATGGAAAAGGCTATCAGGAGCCAACTCATAAAGGTGATGTATACCCAAATGCAGATGCTAAGGGTGGGCCCAGAGAAAAGCAGAATGCAAAGGTACCAAGGAAATGGAGATGACACTCAGGTTTGAGTTTTCTTATTAAACTGCAGAAGAACTAGTTCGAGTTTTACTGCTTTTCTTTGTGCTTTCTGGAGGGTTATCACAGATGCACTCAGTATGAATATAGTAACTATCGTTACCTGTGGAACAGCTAGAGAGAGGTGTTTAATAGGCAATGCCTTTTAAATGTCTTTATTCTGTTTTTGCCTACAGTGATGGAATTTCAGACAGACATCATAAATTTTTGATTAAGCCTCTGGGCAACTAAGAAAAGATACCTAGTGTTCAACTAGGCAAAGGGTCTACTGATAAGAAAAGGTCTCAGTTAGATGCACATTTGGGAGTCATCAACACACCCTTGGTGGTTAAAGACACTGGGAGACTTGAAGGAGTATACAGGATTGAGAGCAGACATCACAGAACATTCAACATTAAAGAACATGTCCAAAGAGCTGGGGGCTATCTGCAAATATTTCTATTCGTACAAAGATAAACCAGCTTGAGTCTCCTTATATCATAATGTTATTGGCTTACCACCTTGAAGTTGTGCCTTTTTTTGTCTTTTGGTGTGATTTTTTTTATTGGTATGCACATAATTATTCATATATTCATATATATTTCATGTATATGACTGAGGGTTTTTTGTACGTGTGTCACACTTTCCTACATTGACATTGTGATTCATACAATCATTCTCTTACACTGTAATTTTAATAACTCTAAAGTTAATCATCATTGTACTATGGCCACCGTCACCCTGTCTTTTTAGATCCATTCTGGATCTTTCCCATTTCTTTTACCCCCTCCCCCAACCCACCAAATTGTGCCACCCTGTGATTTCCCCCTACCCATCCTCATCCCTCTGCTACCACCTCTTCCCACCTTGGATCCTTATATACGTTTTACTGATTATCCTTCTATTTCTACAAGAATGGTGTTATGTAGTATTTGTCCTTGTGAAATGAGTTAGTTCACTTAGCATAATGCTCCCCAGTCTCTCCCAAGTTATGAAGTATTTCTTTACATCATTGCTCCTGGGTGCTACACAGTAGTCTATGATGTGAATTGTACCACAATTTCTCAATCCATGTAGTTCTGGTTGGACATTTGGGCTGTAATAACCAAAACAGCATGGTACTGGTACAATGACAGGCACAAAAACCAATGAAACAGAATTGAGAACCCAGAAATGTACCTATCTATCTATTGTTAACTGATACTCAACAAGGAAACAAAACCTATCAAATAGGGAAGTGACAACCTCTTCAACAAATCGTGCTGGCAAAATTGGACTTCTAAACACAGAAAGCTGAAACAGGATCCAATTCTCACACCATACACAAAAATCAACTCAAGGTGGATCAGAGACCTGGAAGTAAACCCCCAAACAATAAAGACCATTAAAAGACAAAATGGCACCAAGCCTAGAAGGCCTAGACTATGGTATAAAAAGGCTGACAAATACAGCCAAAAATGTATAATCAAGAGAGAATAAAAGTGATGAATGGGACCTTCTAAAAATACAATTCCTGTGTGCATAGAAATCTTTTCCAATAGGGTGAACAGAAACTCTACCAACTGGGGAAAAACATTTGGCAATACCATCTCGGACAAGGATCTCACAACAAAAATTTACAGAATACTACAGGGCCTCCACAAGAAAAAGACTTAACTCAATTACAAAATGGGCAAAAGACATGGAAAGACTTTTCACAAAGAAAGACCCTCAAATGGCCAACAGACACATGAAGAAATGTTCAAAATCAATGCCAATAAAAGAGATGCAAATTAAACCACAATGATATACCATCTCACCCTAATAGCAGTGGCAAAGTTTAACTGGGCAGCAAACAATAAATATTGTCAAGGATGTGGAAAGATAGGAACTCTCATATACTGTTAGTGAAATTGGAAAATGGTACAACCACTCTGGATGGCAGTTTGGCATTTCCTCAAAAATCTGAGCACAGAAATGCTATATGACTCAGGTATTCCACTGCTAGAAATATATCCCAAGGAAATTAGAACTGAGATACAAATGGAAATTTGTACACCAATGTTCACAGCAGCATTAGTCACTATTATAAGAGCCTTAACTTGCTTTCTAACCTCTGTGCCAGCCATTTACACCCACATGGTGGCACCACAAAATCACAGTGAGGTTGTATTCAGCCCCTTCACTCTGCCTCTCCTTGATTCTATGCATATGCAAAAACTTTTATGAAAGAAAACAACAGTTATGATCCCTGGTTCAGGGGTGCTGAGGGTGGGGGAGAAAAAGGACCTATAAAAACCTGTTGAAAAAGAGATGTCAGAAGAATATGAGAAGATACAAGAATATAACTAAAATGTATGTACAAAAGAACTCATTTCTGAAAGAAAATAGCAAACCCAGAAGATAGGTAAAGAAACAGCAAATAAAAATAACACTTCATGCCATTTGTAACGAATCTTTTTTTTCTCTTTTTTATATTAGTTTGATTACAAAGTTTGTATAAATTGTGTTTCACACTGTCCTTCATTATCAATGTGCTTCATATACTCATTCCCATTCATTATGTTTTATAAAATTCAATTAGGCTTCTGCACACCAATTAGATTCCTTTAGTATCAGTCACTGCTGTCACTGTCCACAAACCAAGATCAAAGCAATTTTTAAAAGAAAAGAGATTAAAGAAAATCATTCTATCTGGTGGGTGGAGAGAGGCGAGGTAAAGGAAATGGCAAAGATCCAAAGAGAATCTGGAAAGACAGGGTAATGATGAGCATGGTTTAATGGTGAATGATTTTGTAACACATAATGAATGAGAATAACTGAATGAAATACAATGTGAATGAAGGATAGTGTGAAACACAAGGTATGCAAGCTTTTTATGCAAACCAATATAAAATTAAAAAGAAATAATTTTTTAAAAATAAAGATCACTTTTACTATACAAGGGGGCTTCATGCATGACCCCTTGTGGCTTTGGAAAGACTAAAGAGTCTAATTTTTCAACCACTGATTAAATTTGAAAACCAGTAATGTATACCTCTTAATTTTTCTCCAACGCTGCCATTCCAAGGACTTTCTTTGAGCAGATTTGCAGAACGTGAATAAATGTCTGTGGCATGAGGCAGTAAGAGCTGAAGATGTTTATGAAGCAATGCCACACTGCTTGAATTCTGAAGGGACAAAAGTTTCCTAAATTACTCACTCCTTTGAAAAATTCAAAGTATACAAATATCTGCAATTCAAGGACCCCAACAGACCATCATAAGAGGCAGGGAATTAACATACCTCACTAATGTTATTGATGTGGCAAAATGCCAGCAGCTGTTTCTGTAGTGAGCACAACAGTTCATGAAGATGTGCAGGCTGACTGTTTTCCGATGAGGACGTCCCAAGTAGAAACTTATCACTATTCTTTTCTAGTTCTCCAAATGCTTGATCCTATGAGGATATATAAATATTATATTTGAAGGGTTTAAAATAATGTCCTACCATAATTGAATCTGATTTAACAAGCCATCATTTATTTTTCATCATCTCTCATTAGTAGTAAGATTTATTAAGCTATCTCAAATTTTTTTCCTTAAGAAAGTAATAAACATTTTAGTATAGTAACTTTGGAAATACAGAGAACAAAGAAATGTACTACTACTCAAAGAAAAAGTATTTTAATATTCTGATGGTACTACTTTCCAGACCTCCTGTGTGTTTGTAAATTTCTCAGAAAATTATTCTTAAAGATTAATTTTCTCAATTATTTTTAAAAACCCAAACAATGGAGTAAAGAGAAATTATGACTCTAAATCATGTACTATATTGAATTGAGGGGAAAATTGCGACAAGGGTAGAAATTTGAATGATAGTAATGTTACTGTTGTTAGCCTCCATGGATTTGGTCCCTGTAGAAAGCAGCACTGCTTGGGTTTATACCATTCCCATGATTGGTTGGGGACTATGACTGTTGAAACCCATTAAATTTTCAGCAGTAGACATTTTGGGAAAGACACTGCCAGTTTTTTACTTCTAATCCATTTTATGTTGAAAGTTCTACTGAACCCCTAAGTCCAGTGACAGGCTGACAGTGTAGTACATGAGTAATGACCAAAAACTGAACCTGAATCTTCCACATGAGAACTCCACCACTGGTCCAGCAATGCCTTCTGCATTACCACTAGGCAATGATACTGTATTGATGCTAAGTCCCTTGAATTTGATCACAGTTGTTACATACAATAATGTACTATTCCTAGAAAAGAGCTTCTTATCTGTAATAAATGCTTAATACAAGTCTTAATAGGTAGTTGGCACAACATTTGCAACTTACCCTCAAATTACTCAAAATAAGATGCATAGAGAAAGCAAATCTAGGTAGAGGACAGAGGAATTTCTTGGATAATTCCTTGAGCTACTCTGAAATTTTCAAATTATTTAAAAACTTAGAAAGTATCAAATCTGTATTTAAAAAAAAAAAGTCAACCACCCAAAGAAAATCACTATTACTATTCTGAGGCATTTCTTCCCTGATCTGATGTCTTCCTCCTACCCACATATATGTGGCATATTCTATTTTCAATCTGCTTCCTTTAAACAGAATCATAATTATTTGTATGCCTTAATAAACCATTTGTATGTAAAAGTTAAAATTCATATAATACCCATTGAGTAACATGCTATAATATACTTAGCAATCCCCTATTTTTAGATAATTAAGTTGGTTTTAATTTTTCTTATAAATAATGATGCTATGAACATTTTTATACATAAAGTTTTATCTGTGTTTATAATTTTATGCCAAGAGTTTCAGGATATTATTAAGGACCTGATTAAATAACTAAAAACTCCTCAAACTCATTAGCTATATGACTTAAAAAACTCATTGCTTTAAAAAAACAAACAAAACCCAAACCAAAACACCACAAAAACCAACAAACAAAAACTCACTGCTTTCAAGTGAAAACCAACATACAGTTAGTTGGCTCCACAGTGGGTTTCCAAGGCTCTAAATATCACAAGAGGAGATTACCCATCTTTCTTCAGTTGAGCTGCTGATGAATTTCAACAGCCAGAGAAGGCAATTTTTGTGTTAGGAATATAACTTCATACTTACTCTGCCACCTTTTGCCACCTTAATCTGCCAAACATGCACTATTCCTTTTAAGTCTCTTAGAATAAGACAAATTGGGCTTAAATTACATCATATGTATAATTTAATATTATATCTATTAAGACTAATCCTTTCCTCAAAATTCTTTTTAAAACATTGCTTACAAGTAGCCAATTCTTCCACCTTAACATCAGAAAGTAATAGGAAAAGTCTAAAATACGTATATTTAGAATTTTCAAATATACGTCATTTGTCCCACACAATTATTTCAGCAATGCTGTTATAGGAGAAGACAGGGGAATTTAAGCAGAGCTACATTTATATTATAAGTGTTTACATATAAAAATATCTTAAACTCACTCTCTCCATAAAAAGTTTTATGTCTTTATACTTAAATAAAAAAGAATAACTTACTGTATAAAATCCTAAATTTCTTAAGAGGGTCTTCATGAGAATCTCAGCCAGGTGAGTGTCTGGATAGCAGCTCTGAGTGCCGTAAGGCTGATCTGACAGGCTCCCATAGCTAGTACACACAGAAGAGAGGTCAGCAGCATCAGAGGGCGAGCTATAGCCAAGTAAGGAGGCTACATGTGTGTGATCTTGCAAACTTGTCAGAATGATATCCAGCTGCATTCTCTAAAGAAAAATGTTAACATTGATGAAATAGGAACATGTAAATAATTAGCTTAAAATGAACCAGAAAAAAAATCCAGAAATAAATTATTATTAATGGTGTTAAAAATCCACTTAATACCCTGACAAACAATAGGCTTTTAGGAAATATTAATTATAAGAAAAATGATTTGAAAAAGAAAAATGATCAAATTTATGTCATTTGGAAAAAAAATGCAACTTAGTCTCAATTTTAACAACCCACAGTTTTTTTTTATTCTTTTATTCATTAGGGTATCTAAAAGTCTAAGTATACAAGTATAAAATAAAAATTTTATATAAAAAATGATATGTTGTGCATAATGGCTTTAGTACTACCAATGGGGAGGAGTATAAAATGTCAACAGATAAATTATAGCACTGTCTTCTAAGAATTTTTAAAATAACTTTAAATCATTTCAGATCTAAACTAATGCAAAAATAACTCATTGGAAGACATCTGTAATTACACTGTCTAATAAATGCCATTTTTCTGTTACTATCTTTTTCAGTAATTAATTTATCTACTGACTTAAGCAAAATATATTTAAGATGTATTAAAAATGGGGGGGGGAAACACCCATGTTTATTGCAGCTTTGTTCGGAATAGCAAGGAGTTGGAAACAACCCAAGTGTCCATCAATAAACGAATGGACAGAAAAGCTGTGCTATATTCACACAATGGAATACTATGCTGCATTGAAAAACAAGGAACTCATGAAATATTATACAAAATGCATGACCCTGGAGGGCATTATGCTGAGTGAAATATTTCAGTCACAAAAAGACAAATACGGAATAATGCCACTGTTATGAAAGAGGACTAACATAGGGGTTGGGGGGAGACTGAAAAAGATGGGATAAATAATGTATACTGCATTGAATGCAGATGAGGGAGAGAACTGTTTAAAAGGGATATATGATTGAGTTTTAGTGGACTTGGGGGGAGGGATTGCATAACAATGAAATAGTTGTTCTTTTACTTTTCAAGGAGAAGAGTGAATTGGGGGGAAGAAGTGGGTCAGGAGAAAAGTGTAACAATAAATGAATGGAACTCTAAGTCTCTGTAAACTCTGCTCTTTCATTAAAATTAATTTTTAAAATGGGGGAAAAGAAGCATACTTATATCATCAATTTTTTTCTTATAATAGTCGGAGGGGGTTATAAGCAATTTCAGACAAAGTTCTGGGCATCTAAAAAACAACCACTGCACATGCCCTTGATTTCAACAAGGCATACTACAAATAATCCAAGTCTCTAGTATGATACTGCAAGCAACGTCAGAAAAATTCACCATAATTTTAATAATTAGCTATAGATCATTTAGTCAGTTGTTATTATTGGCTTTATTCACAATTATTAGAAACCCAAGAATCTCTCAGCATGTATCACTAAATAACTAGGATTTAGCAGACTCACCAGGTCAAGTAATATGGCATGAGCTCATGGCAGTAGCTTTATTTCCATTGTGTATCTGTGTGTGTATGTGTATGTGTGTGCGCACCATTCAATTCAGCCTACAAAAACTCGTTAAGGGATAAGTTCTCAATCAATTCTGATTAGACAGCAATACATTCCTAAGTTTACTATTCAAAGGCTTACCTGTCCTTTAGATAGGCTTTCCCATCTGTCAGGTCCTTGGGGTAGAAGAGAATGTAGTAATTCCATTCGTTCTCGTAATGGAGGTAACAGCATGGTTGCTCCCACTGAGAGAGTTTCAATTACCACCTAACACCAAAAAACAAGAGTGAATTTATTGGTTTGGCTCTTACCTTATTAATAAAGACACTTGAAGAGCAAATTTGCTGGTACATTATATTTGCCACTAAATAGCTAATCATCACCCAACTAACTGTTAGTATTCAGTCTTCTAAATTAAGAAGGATAAAGTTCTGTGCAAGAGCTGTGAATATAGTAATGAACAAGACAGACAAAAGCATACTCTCTCAACAAATAATTACAAAATGTTAAAATACTTGCATAAGTAAAAGTGCACATTCATAAAAGGGCAATTAACATGGGGAAAGGGCTTGAGAGGGCAGCAGCTTATTAGAGAAATATTCAAATTCCCTAGCTACTTCTCAAAGAACACCTGGAGAACTGTTTCCATATAGTTTTACATGGACCTCCAGTGGTGCAATCAGTTAGCAATACTTATACATAAACTTACACTGTAGGAAATACTTGGGCAGTTCTATTCTCTCCGATATACAAGTCTCCTATAATAGCCCAAATCAACTGAGGCACACAACAACAAAGGCTCACAGGAACCTCAGAGGATTTACCATATAAACTAAGGCTAAAATAGCAAGCAGGAACTCTGGTTAAAGTTTCCGATAGCAGAAATATCCTAAGGAATGTTGTATTATCTTACACCTTGTCATTTCATTGATTAATAGCTTCCTAATAAGTAAGGTGCTTTACTAGAGAAATTCTGTACTTTGCATTTACAATACTCAATTTTTCTACGTCAGTGTTTCTAATTCTTTGAATTACTAAAGCAATTGAAAAATTCAAACAGATAGTAAGAAATAATAATCTCTTCAAAATCATGTGGCCTCAATGAACTTAAAAATTGGAAGAATATTTAGTGATTTTTCCTCAGGGTTACTATAATACAGTAAATTTTAGCTGTGAAAATTTAACAAGTGACTAAGAATAAGGATTGAATGTATATACTTCCTCTCTAAAAGCCCATCTAAAAGTGGGCAAAGACAGAAAAGAAAGAAGAGAGAGGGTGGGGTGAGAAAAGGAAACAGCTGAAATTAAGAGATAAGGAATATTTAAAACAAGTTTCTATAAAGGCAATTCCAACTTATGATGATGCCACTGTTTCAGAGAAATGTGCTCCATAAGGTTTTGAATAACTGTTCTTTCAAAAATACATGGCGAGGCTTTTCTGCCCAAGTGTCTTTGGTGGATTTAAATTGTAAACCTTTTGGTTAGCAAGTGGACCCACAAAAGCTCCGCACCATTGTACCACCATGGCTCCTGAATATAATGATTGCCGGCTATAAAAGGGAGCTCTGGTCCCCTAGGAGTTGCACTGCTAAATCAAAGATAGGCGGTATGAGTCTACCAGCTGCTCCAAGGGACAATGACAGGCAATCTCCTCCCATGTGATTCATCACCTCAAAAAAATCCACTGAAGAGTCAGCTCTAAGTCAGTTTGGACTGACTTAGTAATGACTTTGAATTTTTTACTTTAAAAACTTTACCAAAGAGGACTTTCAGATGGCAAACAGACATATGAGGAAATGTTCAAAATCCCCAGGTATCACAGAGATGCAAATAAAAACAACTATGAGATACCATCTTATCCCAGCAATAACTGCAAAGTTCAAGAGGGCAGCAAACAACAAATGCTGGTGGAGTTATCGTGGGGCTCTTATTCACTGCTGGTGAGAATGTAAAATGGTACAACCATGATGGAAGGCAGGCTGGCATTTTCTCAGCAAGCTGGAAATAGAAATACCATTTGACCCAGAAATTCCACACTGGGAAACCCTAACGAAATTCCACCCTAACGAAACCATAACCACCATTCAAAAGATATATGCACACCCATGTTTACTGCTACATTATTCACACAGCAAAAAGATGGCAGCAACCCAGGTGCTCATCAGCAAATGAATGGATAGAAAAACTATGTTATATTCATACAATGGAATACTATGCAGCACTGAAAAACAAGGAACTCATAAAATATTAAACAACATTGGTGACATTGGAGGACATTATGCTGAGTGAAATACCCCCATCACAGAAGGACAAATACTGCGTAACACCACTGCTGTAAAACAAGACTGACATTGGGATTGAGGGGGAAACTGAGAAAAGAGGGGATAAATATGAACACTGCATTGGAACAGATGAAGGAAAGAACTATTTTAAAGGAATATACAATTAGGCATTAACTGTATAACAGTCCAGAATAAGAGGTGCATAGCCAAATGGATTAGGGGAGGGGGTGAGGAAAGAAATTATTCAATAATGAATGAATATTTCTTTTTTAGAAAAAGTGAACTGGTGGGTAGGGAGGAAAATGTGCAACAATGAATAAATGAAAATCCAACTTTTATATAAACTTTCATTAAGATCACAATAAAAAAAACATAAAAAGTTGTATCATAAAAGTAAGGTATGTCAAGGAGCAATATGATTTATACAAATCTGAAATGCTCAGGTGCCTCTGCAATGGAGCACAAAGCCAGAGTAGTTCAAATCAAAAGGACTGGCTGAAAACTGGTCAACAACAGGAAAAGTAAATTGAAAACAGAGGGATTAAGAAAGTGTCTATTCTGAATATTGAGACTTTCGGGGGTTTTTCCTTACTAGAAGGACACTACCCAGGTTTTAACACCATTTAGACAGAATGAGGAGGACTCTTCTTTTGGGGAATCTGATCAGCAGTAAATAAAATAAAAAAAATGTAAGAGAGAGAGAGAGAGAAAGTTATCAAGGATTTCTGCCCCCTACCCCAAACAGCCCATGTAGAGCTTGGTTTTTAACAAAACTCACCCAGGTATACAGGCCACCAAATCTGCCTTTTAACTGTCACACTTTTAATCACAAATAGACAGTCAAAACTCATTACAAATGTCAGGAAAGACTTCAGGTAGATGAAGACCAAAACTAATAAATATAAGCTGGGAAAAAATAATAACGATGTGGAGATGAAATTTCAGAGAAAAAATTAGTATTTTCAAAAAGATAGGATATCAGAACAAGAGACTACTAAAAGTCTTTAAACTGTTATCATTGTTCTTCAATATTCTATCTTTTGATGAGAAAAATAGGTGTATTAAAAAAATAATAAAATAAAGTACAGTGTAATTATCAAGGACTGAACTGTGTTTCCAAAAATATATGTTAAATCTGCTAGGCCACGAGGCTCAGTATAATGATGTTAATGATGCAGGCTAAGAATCAGCTACAACATATTCATTCACCATGATGTGATCTGAGACGTGACTGGCCAATCCACTGTAAAGGTATTGAGATGAGATATAACTCATTACTTAGGTCACAGGCTTGATACTATGTAAGAAACATTTTCCTGGGGTCTGATTTGTATCACCTTTTGTCTGACAATAGATGAAAGTAGAGAGAAGAGAGCAGGGTGACCTTAGTAACACCAAAAAAGAAGATTAGAGACAGAGCTCCCTGTCCTAGGAAACTTCTCATCACTAGAAATGCTAAGCCATATGCAGATCTTCAAAGAATGGTGAGCCCACAGAAGCTGATGGGAACAAGGACCTTCTTCTAGAACGGAGAGAAAGAAAGCATTCCGTCAGATCAGCATGCTGAATTTCGACTTCTGGCTTCTTAAACTTTAAGAGAATAAATCTGTTTGCTAAAGCAATTTCCTGTGGTGTCTCTGTCATAACCCACTGGCTAATTAAGACAGTGATGCTATGAGTACATGTAACAGAGAGAGCTAACGTGACAGAAAAACAAGAAAGGTTTCTTAGTGGTGACATATGACCTTAAAGGCGGAACTAACCAAAAAAGTTTTCCACCTACAAAATATGGGTAAAGCAAGGAAGAGCGCACTGAAATTGCCCAACGAATAACTGGAATATTCAAGTTACATCTTCAGGGAAAGATATACCTTGAGATACAGATTCATAAGCACTACATACTCTTACCTCTTGGATTTCATCTGGAACTGTTGAGTCCATCAGTCTGAAGAGTAAATTTCTAAGTGGACCTGCCTGCCTCCCAAGAATGCTGGTAGCTACCCCTCCTGCAAGTGCAAGAGCAAGGTGATTTGAAAGCAACTTCAGGCACAGCTTGAGGAAATTGTGGTGCTCCCTGAAAATAAATAAAACGCTGTGAATTTCTGAAACATAAAATAGCATGTGGCATCCAGCATAGGTGATATTTTTTCTCTTTTGAAATTATGTAAAATCATGACCAAAAGTAACATTTAAAGGTTGAGTTATCAAACTATAAGTAAGTTTTTCTAGAGATTATTATCATTAAGTATCTAAATTTAGCTCTTACTCTAGATTATAAATAAAAGTCATTTAAAAAAAGGTCATACAATCAGGGAGAAAAAAACTCCCCATGACTAGTTGTTGTTGTTATGTGCCATCGAGTAGCCTGCAACTCATAGTGACCCTATGTACAAAAGGCCTAAACCCTGCTCTATCTTGTGCCAATCTTATTGTCTCTGATAATTGTTATTGTCACCTACTCCCATTACCCCAGTGACTGAATCAATCCATCTCATCGAGGGACACAGTAGCAACAAATAAAAATTTCTAGAAAGTAGCTAATACACATGCATGTACGCATACATACTTAAACATAAAACATACCTTGATGAAGGGAAAGGGAGTGGGGGAATCTCACTGTTTATTTTATCACAGTATCTCTCAAGAAAAGAACGCAGGTGTGAGAAGGTACTCTCTTCAAGATCTACACAATAAGGTCGGTGCCATGCAACAACTTGTCTTTAAGAAAGAATATGAAAATCATGAAAATAGCCTTAAAATAATATTTTCAAATTATTAAAATATCAATATTGAAAGATTTCATCAGGATATAAAAAAAGACTTTTTTGATTATTAAGATGATAAAACCCCTCCCTCCAGCCATGCAGGAAAATAAAGATTCACCATCTCTACAGGTCTTCAAGAAAAAAATATATCAACACCTATTTTGGAAAGTTTAGACATCCATTCACTTGAAGGCAAAAGATTAGGTCCCACAGTCTACTAAAATCCTTCTGGTTCTAGCAGTCTACAGAATGTGTACCTCATATTATGAAAACAATGCTGATTTTATACAAATACATTGAAAGCTATTAAAAGAAAAACTCCTACAACCTCTTGGGTAGCTTTTTACAATCTTAGGAGCCAATTGTCTACATATGAACAGAAAGACTACAGATATAAAACAAATAGCAAATTATTCATATTTAATTTACTAAATTCATGGCTTTTGTTTCAGAATTATTTATAAATCTATAAATATTTACAGATTTTACTGTATAAATATTTTAATTGGTTAGAATATAATATTAAATAAATATCCTCTGAATCAAAATAGATAATGAAACACATCTGCAAACTATAAATCAACTATACATTACTGGTCTAGAAATACCTCATTCAATATCCTAATATTGACTAAAGATTACCTACCTTGTTATCTAAAAAAGATGAAGCTGTCACTTTACAAAAAAGCTAAAATTCTATAAAAAGTAACTCTTAAAACTGTGGTTGCTGGCTTTTTTATTTTTTTAAACCAACCAGATAAAGGGCATTGAAATGCAACTGTTTATTTAAATCAACTGTTTTGTTTTGTTTTTTTGTGTGTGTACCGTCAAACTGGATCTGACTGGTACAGCAGGAGACTGTCCCTCCCTCTCCAGCAGAACATCTGGTGGATTTAACCGCGCACCTCTGGGATAAATCAACTGTTTTAAATAAATAAAGCTAGGACCTTAAAAAAAAAAAGGTAGGTTCTGCTTTTTATTGTCTAATTTTGTTATATGTATACATCTTACTTTAATTCTGTTAGTATTTAGAAAGAAGGATTAAGAATATTTAGAAGTCATTTAAATTAAGAAAATGTCTTAAATACAAGGATAGCTTCCTACTTTCTAAACATGCCTAACTGCAACATTCAAATAAAAAAAAAATCTAAATGTCATTTCTATAACAGTAAAAAAAAAAAATCAACAGCAGAAATGTTCCTAAGGATGTATTATGAACAAAGGTCATTTATTTTTATTGTTTCTTTTGTTATTAAAACACAAGATTTTTATTATTTTTTTTTTTAGGTACAGAAGGTTTTAATTAACAGCTAAAAGTCTCTAAATTATATAAGGTTAAAAATAATTTCAATGGGGGCCCATGGGCGAAGGGATTGGAGCAGAGGAGTGAGAATGGGCAGGGGCGAAACCACAGGTTTGCTCATTTTGGTGAGTGGAGGGAGAGGGTGAAGGAAATGGGAAGGATCCAGCAAGGACCTGAAAAGGTTGGGTAATGATAGGCATGGTCCAGCTGTGACTGATTATATAAAACATAATGCAAGTGAATGGGTGTATCAAACAAAGTATTTATCTTTTTGTTCATTTGTTTTCTTGTTGTATACTGTCAAATCAGATCTGACTGGCACAGGAGAAGACTGCCCCTCCTTCTCCAGCAGAGCAACTGGTGGATTTGAACCACGCGCCCTCAGGATTGCAGCGTAGTTTCTTGACACTAGACCACCAGAGCTCTATTGAAACACAGTATTTATGAAGAATAGTAAAACACAGGAATTTTTTAAGTAAGTACTCTCACCTGTCCCTAGGCAGAGCAGTCCATGCCAGACTATGTGATGTGCCAGCTGAAATCTGCTGAATTGCTATGCCATCTAAGCCACTCACTTTCTTTGGTTTAGTTATAGGGCCTGTGGAATTTCCTTGGCCACACTGCCCCATTGAATTGTTACCCCAGGCATAAACTTCATTATCTAAAAACAAAACACAAAGAATAAAAAGCCAAATTTCAGTGTATTTATGGGAGCAAACACCTAATATCATTTCTTTAAAAACAAATGACTTTTACCATGAGAAAGAGCTAAACAATGACTGTCTCCAATAGAGATATCAACTATTCTTGTGGCAGCCAGCTCCTCGATAAGCTTGGGTCTCAGGGCAGTAGCTTCTGAAGAACCACAACCTAGACAAGCTCCACAGCCCCATGCATAGACCTGAAATACATACACATCATTTCCTGAGACCATTACACTGAAGACTGAACATGTATAGGAAAAAATATGATTCATCAAACAAGAACAGAGTTTAATACTAAATAATAATTTTCAAAGTTAAAACAATAATTATATTCATAACTTTAAAGATTGCCATCATTTTCCTTTTCCAATTTTGCAAATGTATCTGATTACACAGGCAGACAAGTAGATGTTGTTGTTGTTATGTGCCATTGAGTCGCTGAGCTGATAAAAAAAAAGTCATCAATCATAGACAAAATTGGAAAGAGATTCTGCCAAATCTACTAATTGGTTTAAATTCTGTAATATTTGCCCAGTATTAGCAGTTTGGGAACTATTGTTGCTATGTGAAAATTTTTCCTTTAAATAATTTGGGAATAGAGAGTGACAGTGGTTGTGTATCTTGAAGAATATAATCAATGTTACTGAATTTTTATACATGTAGAAATTGTTGACATGTCCTAAGGGTTTTCTATGTATATTCCCCAAAATTAAAAACCAAAACACACAAAGAAACTCCTTTACCCGTTTCTCACTCAGAAGGTAATTAACAAATATTTCTTGGTTTTTTAAAAACTAAGGCATGAAACCCTAAAGTGGATTACATAAATTATAAACTTTTAAATACACAAATTTTTATAATTTGGTTAAAGTTACCTCACCTCAGTATTAGGATTATTTTAATTATCAATTATAAAAGGAGCATATGAAGTAGTAGTAGTCAAGATCATTCCTTTTAACATCTTGATTTTTACTAAGTATTAAAAAAATAAAGATTGATTTAGGATGTTTGAGGGAAGGGAGAAGAATAAAAGAGGAAAAGGATGAGTGCTTAATTGGCTATCTGAAATCTACACAATTGGGGAGCTCTGTTGGTCTAGCAAATAAAGAATTGTACTGCCAACCTAAAGGCATGTGGTTCAAATAAACCAGCTACTCTGTGGAGGTGGACAATCAATCTCCTCCCATTCTATGGGAATGGGCTATGAGTTGGTTTCAACTTAGCAACAAACAACAATCACAAATATAGTAATAGGAAACCCACACAACGAGCTAACTAAACTAGGTGATACTTACTTTCATTCAAAGGGTTCTGGTAATGTCACAGCTTATCTTTATACCAGCAAATTTGGAATCTTTATGTGTGTTCACAAATGTTTCAGGAAAGGCTGCTGGACAGTTAAATCTCTCAAGAGTATCCCACATGTTAAGAGAATATACTAAAAGCAAGCCTGTTGTTATTATGTGCCATCAAGTTGGCTCTGATACACAGCAGCCCTGAGTACAACTGCTAGAGCTCACACTGGCCTCACAATCTACACTCTGCTTAATTCCCACTGTTGCAGTTAATGTATCAACCCACTTCCTTGAAAGTCTTTCTCTCTTCTAATCTTCTATTTTTCCAAGCATGTGGCTCTATTTCAAGAACTGGTCCCTCCTGATAATATTCCCCCCAAAGATGTTAGAAGTTATCTCACCATCCTTCTCTGGAAGAAGCACCCATACATTCTAAATCAATAAAAGGGTATTTTAGGAAAAGTTAAGAATTAAAAATATGTAAGAAAAAAAGTATATGTGGTGTTGTTAAGTGTCAGTGACTCATAGTGTACAACACACTGACACCTTGCCCTATGATGAGCAATCCTCTGACATGCCCAAGCCCACTGTTTCACTCTTTCATTGATCTTCTACTTTATTCCAACAATAATGTCTTTCTCCAAGGGTGGTCCCTCCTGCCAACATGCCCCAAGTATTTAAGATGAAATGTCACCATCTTTGCCTCTAAGGAGCACGCTGGGTACAGTTCCTCCAAGGCAGATTTGTTTGTTCTTTAAGTAGTCAATGTTCAATATTCTTCCCCAACATCACAATTCAAAAACATCAATTCTTCTTAGGTGTCTTTATTCATTGTTTGACCTTCACTTTCTTCCCTCCAAAATCTCACATTAGAAACTCTCTAAACACAATAGTACTGCCACTCAGTAAAGTCCACATAACTAGTTTTCTCCTGCATTGTTCCTCCAGTTGTACACAAGATGGAGAAATATTTGGCTTGTATTGTGGGACCATGTAACATAAAAAACATCCACTATATTTTAAACATAAGGGGACTGAAATGGGCTGAGGGAGAATAGTATGTTGATATTTACTCACTTTCAGCAAGTATAAAGGTAAATAGAACTATCTTAAAATATCTTTTTTACTTTTTTTCTTAAGTATATTATTTGATTTCACAAAACTCAGTATATTCATGATATGCCTATTCTAAACAATTAATTAATTTGCATGTTCTGCTGGAATTCCATGTAATGAATTAAACAGATTATTGCCAGGAGGACGGTTTACCACAGCCCCTGTGACTCCTGCCTCAGCAGGCCTGAGGCCCAGATGTTCCTGATGAACAGACGCTGGAAAAGGAGTTTCTTTTTGCCAGATGCTTCTCCTCAGGGAGCATTCTGCCCTGTTCTGGCTCTCAGTAACTTCTCTTTGCTGCTCATACTGAGGATATCACAGGGCAGCTGATCCCACCTCATTTATTTTCTTAGTGGGGAAGAGATGAAGCCTCTTATCGACAGCAGGGACTATGGACTTATTCATTTCTACAGAGTCAATTCACACAATTATCTTACATGACCACATATAGGCAAAGCAGAAATTATTAGCCTTCTCATACAGAAACAGTACAAGAATTCAGTAGAGATCTATAATTTGTCTATGGCCAATTTTGTGTGTGTGTGTGTGTGTGTGTGTCTAAGTTTATAGAAAATATTACAACATAGTAGACAGACTCAAACGGCTCCCCATGGTGTTTTGAAATTCATCCCAACCGTGGGCTGAGTGATCTGCAGGTTGGACAGACTGCCCAAGTCCAAGAGCTCCAGCAGCTCCTTAGTATCAGGATCTACTTTAATGATCTCCTGACCCAGGACTGAAACCTCAGTACATAATTATCTCTCCTTTCTCTCTCCTCCTGCAGTTTAGTGGAAATGCCTCTCACAAGCTGTCTCTGAATCTTCTTCATCAGCTGTGTGACACAGCCTGCTATCTTGTGCCGGAGCGTCTTCCTGGGAATAGTGGCAATATCCTCACACACACGTGCTTGTTGGTGTGGAAGTCATTACCCAAGCATGTGTGGTGTTTCTCAATGGTGACCCGGGCCACCTTCTTCATGGTATTGGTGTGAAAGCAGCCCATGTTGGTGTGTCCTTTGTGAAAGAGGACCAATTATTATTTTAACTGGATTTTCATTCATTCATTTATACAGATTTACCCTCCAAGCCCTGCTCCTTCATTCCATAAGGCATCCAGATTGTTACCTGCATCACTTGTAATGTCTGATCATCCATTCTTTCACCTCTTCAAGGGAGTGTGTTCCATTATTATTTTCCCCTTCTTTTCCTGTTCTCCCTACTATTGCCAATTATCTAGCAAATGAGAATCTTCTAACTGTAAGTCATGGATTATTTCCACAAAGTAAAAAATGAGAATGTTCATGTTTTAAGGCAGCAACTAAAGTAACATTTTACTAACACAACAAATATAAAATGCTAAACAGCTTTTTCAAGGACACAAAGTATTCTAATGTTTCAAAAAGAATTACACATTAATTTTAGATTTGCTACTTAACTGCCATGTGAATTGGAAAAACATTTTTAGATAAAACAAATATAACAGCTAGTTTCTAGGGCACAAGGGGCTGCCATAAATAGTAAGAAGACCTTATGTAGTCAGCTCTCTTTTCACTATCAAGAGGGGAGAGGATTAATGTCCATTTACAGTCATATCTGATCCCTTTCCAGCACAAGTCTAGTGCCAATTTATTTCTCCAAAGGTTCCTAATCAGCTACTATCTACAAATAAAACTGAAAGGACATAAAGGAAATGGAGGGAAGTAAAAATATTCACATAAAAGTTCAAAACCTATTATGTTGTTTTTGTTATGGAATCAGAACTGACTCAGAGCTGACCGTCTCGGTGCCAGAGGCTAGAAATCACACAGGAGGAGACTATTTTTGTCCCACTGAGTTAGTGGATCCGAACCATGTACCATTGGGTTGGCACACATTTCCTTATCCATTAGGCCAGCAGAGTTCCTCTAAACCTAAAAAAGGGAATGCAAAATTTTGCCTAACTTAAGCCTGGCTCTCTTTCTCAGAAACATGTAACACGTAACCTCTGAGTACTTTTCTTACAAAATAAAAATTTCCATAAATTTCTCTTTGCCTTCTTTTTTTTATCACTTCCTAACTTCTAGGTTCTTATCAATGATTCTGGCAAGATCTATTTTGGCATTACCCCACTAACCAGCATTTTTAGAAAAAGGTGTAAAAGGTGCTGAGTTATAAAAGGTGTTTTTTATTTTTACAGGAGTGGAGAGAAAGTGGGGAATGTGCCACTGTGCTAGTTATTTCTTTGAAGACTCTTCTACCATCACAATTTCAACTCTGCCTTTGACCACAGTACTAACTACCATGGTGTCTATGAATTCTTTGTTACTGTCAGAATTCTTTGTTTATGTCTGCTCTCTTGTCTATGCACTTGCTTGCTGAGACATATGTGATAGTGGAGAATGACCTGATACTAATCACCAATTTGTGCATTTTTTAATAGTTTGCTTATTCTCAATCATTTGCATCACATCTGAACATTTCTGAAAAATTTTCTGCTTTCTTCTGTTCTTTTTGTACTTGAGTGCTTATACGTTTTTAATACTAGTTCATTTACAAAATTCAAAAACATTGTTTTCGAGAACAGATTCTTCCAATTTCTCTCACCACCACCCCCCCAAGCCACCCCTGGTCAAACTGTACAACTCCATGATTAATCCCCTTCCCCCTGCCCACATATCCTCATCCCTCTGCTTCCACCCTCCCCCACACCCCTTTGGATCCTCATACTCATTTTACAATAATGGTTTTATAAAGTATTTGTCCTTCTGGGACTGAGTTAGTTCACTCAGCATAATGCTCTCCAGTCCCTCCCAAGTTAGGTAATAATTTACAAAATCATTGTTCCTGCACGCTGCATAGTATTCCATTGTGTGAAAGTACCATATTTCTCAATCCATTTGTTTGTAATTGGACATTTGGACTGTTTCCATGTTCTTGCAATGGTGAATAATACTGCTATGAAAAATGGTGTACAAATCTCCATTTGTGTCTTAGTTCTCATTTTCTCAGGGTATATTCCAAGTAGTAGATATAAAAGGTTTTATAGCCCATTTTAGTACAACATATGGGGGTTGGGCTGAAGAAAGGTTTATCAAAGTCACACAAGTCAGGTGAGAAAGACTAAGTTTCTCTTTCAGATTTGCAACTTCTTTAAACATGAGAGAATCCTTTCTTTCAGCAGGTTGCCTCAAAAAGTTCTTTGAACTCTAAAATAGAAATGTGATTATCACTTACTACCAGCCTTTTGAAATACTCTAAATCTTTCATATTCGTCCTTAGTCATACCTGCCCTGTTGACGTCAAAGCAAGTGAAGACTGGCTCCCAGCACAGACTTTGCGAATGAACATTCCTTGTAAAGCTTCAATAACTTTAGGTTTATACACTCTGTTGGTATCACCATGGCCAAGTTTCCCTATAAAAATAAATACATTAACATGAAATTATTTGTTTTTTAAAAATGTCTATTGCTTTTCTAAGTATTGAAAATGATCAAGAGCTAACTCTTCCTTTTACAAACCTGACAGCTATGGAAAATATAAGCTTGAGAGAGTAGAAAACAGTAATGCATAAGTGCTTCTGTTACAAGACAGCAACCAATAACCTTCTGTATCTTAATTTCAAGCACTTAAAGCCACTTTAAGGGAGCTATGAAAAATTGTTTTTCTATGACTTTGTCTGCTTTAATGGCCATATTTCTAAATAACTTTCTGTGTCTTAATGTCAAACACTTAAAGCCACTTTAAAAGAGCTAGAAAATTTTTTTTGTCTTTCTCTGCTTTAATGGGTCATATTTCTAAACTCAAATTTGCTGATAGAAGAATGCATATCCTTTGTAAGAACTTTAAAAAACATTCAACAGCTAATGAAATGGAAAAAAAACCCTGGCAAATCACTAAAGAATAACAACAAAGGGGTAACAATATGTAAATTCACCTTACTAGGAATCAAGAAAAATAAAAACCATTTTCACTACTAAAATTATTTTTATATTTTAATTTTCAATGTTGTCTATAGAGACAGAAATTGGACACACCCAACATTGCAATTATAAGTGGCTAAAATGGACAAAGTTAATCATAAGATTATGTTGTTCATTTTAATATTTTAAAAAGTTTAGAAATTCTCATTCAACAATGAGAAAGTATTACAACCACAAGAAAGAATATTGTGTAGTTACTCAAAAGAATGAGGCAGAACTATATTTGTTGACACAGAAAGAAAATCAGAAAGTACTACTATTAACTAATTCAAGTGACAATAAAAAGTAAAACACAGTCTATTAGGTTGAAACCCAGCAGTTTATTAAATATTACCTATGGTACAGGCTGGGTTTAGAAGGGGTCGTGGTACTAGGGATATTGTTGCTGATGTTAGACGGATCTTGG